CACACTTCCAGTCATCTGAGCCGAGCGCCTTCATCAGGGCCACAGACAGGGGCGAAGGGCATCGTGAGCACTTCGCAACAATTCTGGCCATCGCGAATCTGTCAGTTTGTGGTTGGTAGGTCGCAGGACCCATGAAGGACCGCACAGCACAGAGCCTTTGCGTCTACCCACTAGGTCGGAACAAACACGCACTCATTTATCCATCCATTCATCATTCGTGTGTCCGACTTTCTCTTACATGTCTGACTTTCTCTGGGATTGACGCATGAACGGGTCGTGGATAGCTCAACGAGTTCTGCTGGTCGTCAGCTGGCGGCCGTCGCCCTGCTTCCGAGGTCGGTGCACAAGGTGCTGGTGATCGCCAATCTGTACGAGGCGTCCGCCACAATTGACGGCTTCGTATTTGCGGTCGACCCGTGCTACGTCATGCTGAAGGTCGCAGACCTCACAAAAGTATCCACCACGCAGCGGGCGGGCAGGTAGGCACATAGGTACACCCACACACGAGGAAGAAGGCCCTCTGTGTCTCTGTCTGTTGTCCAGACAAGTGTGGCCGGCCGCTGTGCGATCTGGGGCGCTTTCCGGTGTGTTGGTGCCGTCGAGCAAACAATGCCCACCTGACTTCGGCCTGGGCGTCAACAACGGGGCAAGCTCGTCGTGTCTCTCAGCGTGCGCACAGCCGAGCTGCCGCTGACGCGCGTGCTCGATGGAATGCTGTTGCTGGGGTCTGCAGATGAAGGATATGGGTGTGCAGAGGAGACACTCATCATCGCGGTCACGACATCGGCCACGTCGCCTCGGATTGCCACCCGTAAGACAGACTGCCTGGAGCTGTGGAAACAGAGCCCGAGTGTGGCTGAGGGGCAGCAGTACCAGCGAGAGAAATGTGACAATACTGGTCGGGGAGACATCTTCGGTGGCATGGGTGCAGTGGATTATTGGCGCGGTGCTATTGCCATTGACAGGATGAGCACCATGCTTTCTTGGTCTCAACGCATCCATTTTCATCCTAGGATGCATTGCATGCCCCCACTCATTCATATCCAAACATCATTCTACGTCATGCTGACACCTTGCATGCCATGCACCGTGTGTCGCCAGTGAGGGCCTGTATTACTTTTCATGGCATCTCGCGTTCTTCACTGCTTGGGGCATCACGCGCTCTTCTGTGGGTTTCTTCGCTTTTCGGGGGCTCTTTTTTCTGCTCATGGGGCTCTTTTTCGTTTGGCACATAACCGCTGCTGTGTTTGAGTCATCTTACATGTATGGGCGAGACAGGGCCGCCTTTTTCTTGGCTTGTGCGCCTCCCTGTTTTGTCGGTCGATTGGATGAGTGGCTGTGAGCTGACGCTCGACCTGCGGGATTGCGGGCCTTCGGAGACGTACTGCATGCTCGATACGTCTTCCTTCTCTCTCGGGTAACTTTTTGCTTTTGTGTCTCTCTCGCCACTTCTCATTTCGACTCGCGCAGCTTTCTTTTTGCTTTGCAGTCTGCTGCCCATTTTCTTCTCGTTCGACAGATTCTGAAGAGAGCATAAGCAATCGGCTTTGCGCCATTGTGGCTGTGTCGACGTGATGCGTAATGAGACTTGCCGACATAGCAAGGAGAGATAGAGGTCCGCCTCCCTGTGCAGTGCTCTCTTGGTTGCGTGGTGACTGTGTTTGACTTGTGGGATTGGGTGCCTCGTGCTCTCTTTGGGGTTGTCTGAAGTGTGCCTTACCTTTGCTGTGTGTATGTTGGTTGCATGACATGCGCATGTCTCGGGCCGCTCCTTTTTTTCGATCGACTGCTGAAGGGGCAAGGGGTGATGCGGCCTGTAGCATCAGCCGTTTCTTCGTGTGGACGGAGCTGCTTTTGCCTTGTGCCGAAGTGATGTCGAATGTGACTCAGAGTGACACAGCGGTTGACAGAGCGTGTCAGTGATGGTGTGCGCTTCAAGTAGCTACTGCTGTCCACGCAAAGAGACACACTAATCAGTGGCCATCTAGTCACACGGGTCCATCCGTCTCTCTCTCTCTCTCTGGTGTCTCTGCTGTCTGTCTGTCTGTCTATCTCTCTCTTGTCTGTCTCGCCTACCACGCCCCAGTCAGTCAGTCATCTGTACATCCATGCACACACCCACTCACATCCATCCGTGGGCGAGAAGGCTGACTATACACGATGCCACACAGGAGGAAGGGAGAAGGCAGACACACTAGGGCGACATCGAATGAACGAACGTGTAAATGAATACGTGTCTCCACGGCACTCCCGCACACACCCGTCTCCTGTCGCTCTCTCATCCATCCAGCCACCCATCACTCAGCCATCCACTCGCTTATGCGATAACTCAGCAACAAATGGCCACAAGCGTCGTCGAAAAACGCCATGAGCCGTATGCAGGTGAGAACACTTGCAAGGCGACATACATCTATATCTCATCGCTCGCTCGCCCATTCAGCCCGCCATTCACCCGTCCATGTACAACACAATATAATCACGGCAGCCAAGCAGCCGAAAAATGGCTGGTTCAACACCACACCATACAGTTGGGACAGCCAACAAGCCCAAAAATGGACCGTGTCATTCGTGAAGGCGTCAGAAAAATCACATGCACCACCTGCCTGATCTCAACATAATACTCTCCTATCATCACCTCAAGCTTCAGGACAGATGGGGTCGGTCCCCTCTAAGACCGTCTCAGCCTCACACATACACTTAGCGTCACCCCCAATGAAGTGACCTTTTTCGTTGGTCAGTTCGTTGAGATTCTCGCATCTAAGCTCTCTCACAAAGACAGTGCCGATGTCCGAGTCGCCTGACAGGACGAGATTGGGATTGTCAATGAAGTCGGCTTTCAGAATGCGGGAATCAAACACAACAAGACGTGCCATGGAACCACTAGGACCACAACGACTGATCCTGAGCTCTCCGAGTGCAGATTCAGTATCAAGGGGAAGTGTAGCAATTGACGTTGACAGAGTCCCACCTTCGCAAGCTAAGTCTATGATGCCGCCTCCTCTGCCGGTGAAAATGACACTGCCGATGTTGATGGTCGTAAAGCTGCCTCGAGCGAAAATTTTATTCCCGTGTGGAAAGAATTTTTGCCCGATGTTGACTGAAAGCACACGTGAAACACTATGGTATGTGCAGGTAGCTCACAGCATATACCTGCGGACAGGAAAAGTTGACCCCCTTGTCCCTCAACCGTCACGCCTCTATTAATGGATGCTCCTGTCAGCCGCACAATCACTGCGCATGTGCAATGCATTTTCCGCTGCCTTCCGCAGTGGAGGGGCTTCCTTTCTGCCTCTCACAGGCCCTCACCTATGACTGCAGTTCCGGATAGTGCTGCCGTCACAAGCTTTCCACGGATGCGTATCGAGTTGAATGGAGGAGGAGGAGGTCCGACGACGTCAACAATTTGAAGCGAGGAGCCTGTGTCCGTCACTTTGAAGTCGCCTCCGATGAAGATGATGTCGCCAGATTTCGTTTGAGACGTCTCTGTTGGTATAGCACGTTGAACCTCGACGGGCGCATCCTTGGCCTCGACATTGACATCGCCGGCAATAATGATCCGAGCAACTGTGCCGTCGTCGACTGATGGCGCCTGTTCTATGAGAAGGCCAGCGACACTGAGAAAGCCCCCTGGCAGATCTGGCAGAAAGGAAACGGCAAGGAGCACAAAACATGCCACTCTCATGAATCGACTCCCGTAGCTACCTGGACTCCGAAGTTCTCCTTTCAGTACAATATCACCTCCTACTATCCTTTTTGCCGAGAACCCTCCATCCGAATGTCCCGCCAAGTATGAGGATGGGACCAGCATTGTGCCCTTCCACATTGAGCTTGACGAACGCGTCTTTCTCTGTGCAGAGAATACCGCCATCTGACACGCGGACGCCGCCGAAGACTTTAGCGCCGCTCGTGAGAATCAAGCACTGTCCGGCCCCCACCTCCACACCTGCACAAGACAAAAGAGCATACCACGATGCAAGAGAGAGGAGAACGTGAAGTCCCCCTATACCTCCGATCTGAACGCCATTGATGACCCGAACTCCCTGATTTTTCCTGCACTCGAGGTCTGCTACCAGTACCTCTTCGCAGGGCTTTCCTTCTACTTGAAGCGGTTCAAGAGCGCCGGTGAAGTTGGAGAAGGGGCTGGTGATGTTGTGCTCTTCGAAGTAGCGGGTCAAGTTGGTGGTCAAGGGGCGGCTGGTGCCGTTGCTCGAGGGGTCGGGTGGCGCCGGCGGGAGAGCCTGGCTGCAGCAGAGGGCGGCGGCGAGGGCCACGATGAGGGGCAGGGGGCTCTTCATTCGCGCACACCGTACCGCGCTAGCTTCTCTAACGGCTGTCCAACGGCCCGCGGCTGGATCTGCGCGCGAGTGTGGTACCTCGTCCAAGGGGGAGGGAAGGAAGCTCTCGAGATGCTTTTCGCAGACCCGTCAGTCTCGTGAATAGAAGCGTGGTGATAGGACACAATCTTGACCACGGCCATCACACAAAAATCAGCCGGACAAGGAAAAAGACACTAGGGATGATCCACATCAACTAGTACGGAGTGAAGGGAAAACCATCGAACCTGGACAAGCCAGACAGACATGGTGCAGCCAGTGAGTGAATGGGTATCGATGGACGCACAGATCGTGTGCGCCGCTCACACCCATGGACAGACAGCCAGCGATGGTGGACGGCTTAAAACCCTCTCTCTCACAAGCACAAACAGATCTCTCGCCCCTGAGCCTTCACCCTTCCATGACACCAATACACTACAGGACTGCCTGGCTGCCTTATCCCGCCCCCTGTCTCTCTCATCTCTCGCTGCGCGTGTGATGTGTGCTGTGGGTGTGATGCACGTCATGCACCCATTCATTCATTCCTCCTCTGCGGTCTCCTGTTGCTTCTTTTTCTTCTTCTTCTTGACCTTCTTCTCGGGCTCCTCCGCAGCTGCTGCTGCACCGGCAGCCTCGCCCTCATCAGCTGAACGCACCGCACCAGCCATGAGGGTGAGTGGACGGCACGAGTACGTTGTGTGGGTGGATGGATCATTCTCACCTGCTTGTGCCTCATCGAGCTTCCGCTTCTTCTTTTTCTTCTTGGCGCCATCCTCATCCCTGCCCATATCACACACACACATACACATTCGTTCGTGTACTGTATAGTAATTGGTCGGCTTGGCCTACTCAGGCACTTCTGCCGGCGGCTCCTCCTCCTCCTCCTCCATTGCATCCTCGTCCTTCTTCTGACACACACACAGCACACATGACACACATACACACACGTACACGTGTGGATGGATGGATGGATGGATGTGTGAGGGGTGTGGTGTGTGTGTGTGTACCTTTTTCTTCCTTTTCTTCTCCTCCTTTTGTGGCTGTGCTTCCAGTCCGCTGACAGCCCCCTCGCCTGCCGCCGCGGCAGCAGCCGCAGCCGCTGGGGCCATCTCTGCGTCCGCCTTGTCCTCTTCCTTCATCTCATCTTTGATAGCGGCTGCTGGACACACAGATGGAAGGGGCCAGAGGGGATGTGTTTGCCTGCGTCTCAGCTGCATTCACGTGTACCTCCAGTGAGTTTGGGGAGCTTGGCGGCGTCCTCTCCCTTCAGCCACGACTCCGGCGTCTGCTCATTGGGCTTCCCGTGCTTGTCCAACTTGCCAGCCTGACCAGTCGTCACGCAGCCATCCATGCATTCATTCACACGTTAATGTGCATCAGTGTCTGACCAGGATGAGTTTCTTCTTCTCGGCCGCCCTCGGTCCGTAGCCCCAGCGCATGTCGTACGTGTCTCGCTCCATTATCACACGCTTGATGATCGAAACAACACCTGAACGACACACATCCACACAAAGAGAAAAGTGCAGCTGTGTCCTCACTGTCTTTGGTGGTGGATGTGTCATGGCTGACCGTGGTCGACGGTGGCGATGACGGCAGTGGTCATCTGTGCGATGCCGATGGCGACGGCCTCTCCCTTGGTGGTCATCATCACCACCTCAGTGCCGATGTCGATATTGTTGTCGAAACGCAACACACCCTGGCACACAGAGACAAAGCCGCCACAGCAATCAGTCTCACGCCTTTCCTCCCTTGTGCGGTGTGTTGGGAGGGTCTTCACCGGAATCATGAGCTTGGCGCCATAGCAGACGGCGTTGACGGCGCTGTCCTTGAGCTGATACAAACCCACACAGAGGGCATTGACACAGGCCTTCCCTTGTGTGTCTATCGTTCCTCCACTCACCACTATCCTTGGGTAGGTGGTGAGCAGCATCTCCAGAGGGAACACGACACGGCGAAGATACGACTCGTCCTGTGTGATGGACAGACGGACACAACAGAGACCATATGTGTCTGTCAACTGCTGGTGGGTGTGGTGTGGTGTCTAGATGTCCCATCCCTCCCGCACACCCACCCTGAAGCTGTCGTAGACCCACTGTGCGTCAAGCACGTCGTGCATCGTCGTCATGCAGTCCTTCTCACTCAAGCAACCAGACCTGACCACACACACACGGCCACAAGACACACCACATGCACAAATGGAGTGGCCTCTTCCGTGTGTGTGGCTGCACGCACGTACCTGACTCTTCTGAGCTCGTGCATGTGCGCGCCCACGCCCAGGATGAGCCCCAGGTGCACACAGAACGTCCGCACGTAAGTGCCCGCCTCGCACGACACCCAGAACACGGCCAGGTGCCGACGCTCGTCGTAATCCAGCAACTTGGACTCGTAGATGGTTCTGCAGGCCGGATGAGAAAAAGGACAGCGGTCGACGCTGCCTGTGTGTGGTCTGTGCCGTCATCACACATACGCACCTGATTCTCAGTTGTCTCTTGACCGCTGCAATGACGGGTGGCCGCTGAAACTGCGCGCCTGTCAACGTCTCCAACGCCTGTTCACACAAACGACACACATAGAGCAGAGCAGATGGTCGACGGGATGGGTGCATCGATGTCTGTGTGTTGCTGACTGGACTGACTGACCCTGACGACTTTCGCCCTGCTCTCGACTGCACTGTGGAAACGCACAATACCGACGTACTCCTTGCCTGAACACACACGCAGCACAGCTCCACCATGAGCTCCCATCCTCCTTTGCTATATGCCCTGCCCACCTGCAGCCTGCTGGCTCTTGACGAGTCTGGTGGCCCGGTTGAGGCAGACGAGGAGGCACCCCGTGACCTTGGGGTCCAGCGTGCCGCTGTGTCCGGTCTTGTCGCATCTGAGTATCTTCTTGATCCAGGCGACCACCTCGTGGCTGGAGGGGTTGGCGGGCTTGTCGAGGTTGATGATGCCGTAAGCCAGATACTCGGACAGCGGGCGGTTCAGCGGGGAGCAGCCGTGCGGCAGCGGCGTGTAGTGGCCCGTCCGCACGTTCAGCTTGTCATAGTTCTGAACCAGACAAGCAGCCAGATACCCACGCATCAGGTGTCGGTGCTTCTGTCTCGCGTGTGTGGATGGGCCAGACTGAGTCTGCCGACCTTGAGCAGGAGCGGCCACGTGGAGGTGTCGATGGGTGGGCTGAGCTTCTGGGGTCTGATGAACAGCTCCTGGCCTCCCTCGGGTCCGTCCGTGGCGCCCTCCTTGGCCTTTCGCTTGCCCTTCTTGATCTTGACCGGAGCATCTTCCGACACATCCATTGTCGTGACCAAAGCGCCAACTGCCCACAGTGGGCCCCTCACAGCACCTTGAGCAGCCTCGTCGTCGAAAAATGGCAACGCTCGACAATCTTACCCTTAACCACCACCCAGGCAACGAAAGAAAAAGCTCGCGGTGAAAAAGGCCGAAAGGCAAGAGCCAAAATCCGTTCGAGAATGCCATGGTGATGCCGATCATGTGCCGAAGAAGCTCGTCAAGCTCGCTTTGACCGTCGTCGCCTCACTCTGTCCATCGGCGTGCATTCAGACCATCGCCCTGAGCAGCTCATATATCAGGATGAAGGAGGACATCGCCGCCGAGTACATGCGGGCCGGCTCCCGGTCCTCCAGCACCTCAGTGCCCATCGTCACCCCACCGCAGCGCATGCGCCACGACATCGCTTCCACGCATCGGCGGTCCTCTTACGGCGGGCCCGTCACGCCCTTCTGGGTCATGTGCGTGCCCGTATCGGTGCTATTCTTCATCACCGTCTCCATCGGCTTCGCCAGGTTCCAGCCGCTCATTGCAGTCTCCCAGGCCCTCCACATCGTCGGCTTCTCGGTCGTCACGGGCGGCGTCGTGCTCTACAGGCACATTGCGGGCCTTGAGGACGCCGATTCGGTGCTGGAGGAGCTGTCCGAGAGCCCGTGGAAGTGGCTCACCGTTGAGATGTTCGTGCTCGTCATCGGCAGCGGCGTCCATCTCTGCATTGCGGTGTCGCTCATGACCGCTGTGGCGCGGATTCTCTTGGGCGTCAAGATAGCCTGCGGCTTCACCGCCATCGCCATCTGTGCGGCGCTCATCGGCAGCTCTCGGGGGTCGCGCGAGGTGCGGCGGCGGAACGTGCTGTTCGCCGACGTGGCCATCTTTCTTCTGATGACGTCCATTGCGCTGTCGATAGCGGTGCGGTGCGTCAATAAGGCGGGCGACGACCATGTGCTTGTGGTGGTGAGGCATCCCGAGACCCAGCCGGGCGACGGTCACCCATCTGGTGCTGGTGGTGTGGGCGGGGCGACGAACGCGTTTGGGCTGGGGTGGATGGATGAGGGCAGTGAGGTGGCGGCTGACGAGAGGGCGGTGCTGTCGGACATGATCAACCGGGGAGCAAGGAAATGACCGACCAAGAGAGAGACTGGAGTGAGTGACACTGGTGCTTTATTTTTCGCCGCCCCAACGGATGGATGGATGGATGGATGGCGAAATGGTCGAGCAAAGCAAGTGACAAAGGCGTGAGTGGATAGGATGGGTGTAGTTTTTCGGTGCGGGTGAGGTGAGCAAGGATGGTAGTTTCGTGTTTGCTTCTTCCCCGATCGATCTGTGAGTGGTCGCGCCAGCCATGTCCTCCTCCCCTTTGGTGAATCCATTCCTTCACCCGACGTCACGTCACCCTAGTCTGTCTGTCTGCCAGTCTTGTTCTCTCTCCTCCTTCGATGTCATCATCGTGTATAGTCAGCCCTCCTGCACACACAGATGGGCGAATGGGCGAATGGGTGGATGGATGGATGGATGGGTGTGGGTGTGTGAATGGATGCATGTACAGATGACTGACCGACTGACTGACTGACTGGGTGATGGTGGGGTTGCCGGACAGACAGTCAGAAGAAGGGGACAGACATGGACGGGAGGGGAGGGGACGGGACTCAACGCGCATGCACACACACTTCAGGTGGGTGGGAGTGAAGCAGTCAAAACGACCTGATGCGACGTGACCTGTCAGATGAATCAGTTTTCCTAAGCATGTTATCGTCGCGTCATTCACGCACTCACATCATTGTGTGTTCTTCCGTCATGCACAGCACAGCCATTCAAAAACAACAGGCTGCCTGCCTCGTCACGTTTTGCCACACATTCATACACTAACTACAGTCAGCCAGCCAACGGATCGGTCAGTCTTGTCGCACTTTGAGTGTCTTCTTGGTCACCGTACCGTCAGCAGTCCTGCAAAGCGACACACGACACACCCACACGGCAGGTGCTCGTCTGTCTGTCTGTCTGTCTGTGGTTGCTCTGGCTGAAGTGCGCTTACAGGATGAAGACGTCGGCTCCCCATCCGCTGACGCAGTCCCGGTCGACGGCTGCGAGCAGACACTGCGATATCGTCTCAAACAACTGGTCGGCATCCTGAGGCCGACCACCAACACACCCCGTCACACCCACCGACACACACATCCACATGGCCCATATATCTTTGGCCTCGCTCACCATGTCAGGTTTCCAGAACTGCTCGCAGAGGCCAAAGAGCTGGTCGCTGGCCGTCCCGCCCGTCACAAAGTCGTGAGCCTCGCTTTTGGCGCCGATGGAGTCGTACCCCGCCAGGACGGGCTTGTTGTCCTTGTCGAGCCCCGCCACGACGGGGTCCACAAACCACGGCCCGAAGCGGCGGGCGTACAGCATCGACGCCACCAGGGCCGTCACCACCTTGGGCTCCATCTCACGCTCCTCCCGAAGCGAATACATCTTCATACGATACGCTATCTCCTTGTGCCTTCAGTCATGCGACACACACGACACACGCACCACAGCTAGCTATGTGCAGACCTGTGGGTGTGGCCACAAGTGTGGCTTACACTGTCTGCACGTCGGATGCCAGGCCGCCGAGAGCCACGAAGCACCGCTCCGAGACCTGGAATGCCCTTTGGAAGTTGGCCGAGATGGTCTGGAACTGGTTGACGCCCAGCCGCTTGTCGACGGCCACCGCCACGCAGTCCTTGCCGGCCATGCCCACCAAGGCAGCGCCATTGTAACTGAAGATGGACTGCAGAGCAGACAAGACACGAGGAAGTTGTGTGTGAGATGCGGGCAGCGGCGTTATTGCCGCTGATCTATGGTGCTGCGTCATGCATCATACCATGATGTGAGATGTCTGCCTGCCTCAGGGAGCAGCAGCGGCGTCACGTCGCGCCTTCGCTCAGATGCTCGCCAGATCAGATGGAACGAAGGTCTAGGAGATCTGCTGCAGGAATCTGTTGTCCAAACGGTGCGGAGCTCCTGCGTTTTCCTTCTCGCTCGCCTGGTTTCAAACTCTGAAGCTCGCGCAGGCTCCGTGAAACCGCTCTCACGAGTGGAGGTGACTTTCCCTGTTTCTCTCTTTGTTCTCTGGCTCCGCGGGGCTCTCTCCACGGCGTCGGAATTCTTTTCTGTTCTTTCTCCATCAAATCCCGTGAGCACCAGCCGTGTCGGCACTCTCTAGAACTTCTTGGGCATCTCGGAGCCTGTGACAGCCAGCTGAGGCAGCAGGGAGGTCTGCAGAGGGTGAAGACGGCCACCTGTGGACACTTGTGGAAGCTTAAAAGCCATCTTTGAGGAACAAGGACTCGCAAAGCGACTCTTTGTCTTCCCACGCGCTCCCACGGCCTCTCTGACGGTCATGGAGCACTGCTACTGCTACTGATCAAGACGACTAATGGTGGCTAGCCGATTGATGTCGTGATGAAGGAGTCGGCTTGTCCTTTTCTGCGGCATCGCGGGGACACCAAGGGTGGCGGCAGCGACGACAAGCGGCAGCCGACCAATGACGCGCCACCATCTGCCGAGCAGCGGCCAGCTGCAGCATCATCGTCTGATGCCGTCCCTCCCCCTGAGTGGACCTCATCTAGCGTCCCGTCCCCCTCCCCCTCCCCCGGCCCAGCAGCACAAGCACAAGGACCAGCAGCAGCAGCCGCAGTGCCCAGCTACACAGTGTATGAGCAGCCCTCTCCCAGCCTGGTGCCGTCCGCCGCCCCGTACGTCCATCCCCCGCCCCCGCCGCCATGGATGGAGCCCACACCCTCTCCAGGATTTCCATATCCACCGATGCACCCGACACAGCAGCAGGGGGAGATGCAGGGAGGACCCCACCACCAACAGCAGCAGCAACAGCAGCAGCAGCAGCAGCCGCCAGGGTTCTTCCTGCGTGACGTGCTCAAGGTGGTTGCCGAGGCGGCGGCGGTGATTGAGGGTCTGCGGCTGATGCTCATGACGCTCACACAGTGGTTCCGGGAGGTGAGCGGGTTTGGCGCCGGCGTGGCAGAGAGGGGATTCCTCATGCGCTACCTGCTGGGGTGGCTGGGGCTGCTGGTGGGAGGGAGGCGGGCCAAGGGGCGGGGGACAGGGCGGGGTGGGCTGACCCGTGCTTGGGAGGAGAGTGTGGGGGTGTGGGGCGGCGGGGGAGGGGGCGGACCGGCGTCAAGACGGCAGTATCGGTGGTCGGTGACGGCCTCGGTCAGCAGCTCCATCTATGTGGCGTTGGGGCTCTACCTTCTCTTCCGTCTCTATCGCCAGTGGAAAGCATACCAGCGGCTGCGGAGATGGCTGACGGCTCACACGAGACGACCGCACCACCACCAACAGCAGGGCCGCCCCGCCCTCCCACCTGTGGCCGAGCACCAGCAGTACTCGTCGCCACCGCTGCACCCGCTGCTTTCTTCTCCTGAGGCGCGCAAGCTTCTTCCGCGTGTCCACATCTCGCAGACGTCTTCGACTGTGTCGCACTCGTCTTCGGGCGCCACGGCGAGTCCGCGGCACATTGGCGAGGGAGTGGGTACCGATGGGTCGCCGATCAGCGACACGCACCGGCTGTTGTGGGAGATGTACAAGCGGAAGCAGCGGGAGGCCGCCATGGCCAGGAGGGGGAGGGAGCAACACCAGCAACACGACGGTGACGGTGACGGGGGGGAGCCGTCGGCATTTAGCTGACTTGACGGGCAACCCGTCGTATTGGGGTATCTCGCCATACCACACGACACGGGACTTTTCGCTTCTGTCGTCGCGCCTCGTTTTTTCCCTGCCTTCTCGTGCTGTCCGTGCGTGAGTGGCCTGCATTTTCATGCTCGCTCGGTCGTGGTGCGGAAAGACATCATGCGTGCGATGCTGGCGTCGTTGGGTGTGGACTCCCGTGTGTGGTGTGGGTGTGGCTCGTGAATGGATGTGTCTCGGTCAAGAGAAGGTATTGGTCGCTCATCAGAACGAGCACTCAAGTGTAGGCAAGTGTAGGAGTACACAGAGAGGGAGAGACAAAAGGTCGGCCGACGTCCACCCATCAACGCATCCATCCATCCATCCATTCATGTGGCAGCCGGTCCCAGCACACAGCAGCAATGCACGAAACACCCGCATTCATTCATTCACAGTCTTACTCACCGACAGAGAGAGAAAGAGGCGCATCCAGGGCGACTAAGGACACGCTAGCATCGCATTTTTGTGGGGTGGTGGGCCAGCCTTATCAATCGCAGATCCGCCACTTTCAATCAACATGATGCAATCGAGGGTGAATTATTAGAGAGAGAGAGAGAGAGGGAGAGTGTATAGAATGGATACAAAGACCGACCGATCGTTGATAGACGATTATGTGTGTACGTGTGTACGTATGTACGTATGTGTGTATGTATGTGTGTGTGTATGAGCAATGTAAGAGTGAGTCAAAGCGCAGCAGGAGGAGGAAGGATTAGACAGGAAGTATCGGATGGAGATGGAAGGAATATCCACACGTATTTTGATAGGACCTACCTCGTCGCATCCACACACACACGCGCCACACATCAATGACATCAATGAATGAATCACACACACCGCACCGTTATGGATGTGTCGTATGTACGTACGTATATATGTGATGATCCCTTTGTGTACGTCTCTTTCGTACACACACTCACATCGATGCGCAAATGGAAGGAAGATGCTACCTGTACACACACATCGGGCCCTCCTTATGCACTCGGACAAAACACCACGCCCCCTGCACATACACACATACGTACAAAAGCCATCCGATCCGATCCGTGGATGCAGTTGGTTGCAGACACCACATGCACCAATCGACAATGTCAGCAGCCACCAGAGCTCAAAAAACACAAGCGACTGCATGTTTGCATAGGGCCACGCCGCGCCACGCCCTAAGTGTAATGGCAGCACCCATCCATCCATCCATCCATCTGCACACACCTGGAGACATGGAGACATGGAGCCACGAAGGAGGCCTGCACGCACATGCACATGCAGCGTTGACCAAACATCAGCACGACAGAGGGGCGAGCGAGCGCGTGGGTGAAAGACTTCACTCACTGTCACATCAACCAACCACAAACCATCAACAGCCGCAACCACACACCACACCCGACCTTCGTGTTTGTCCGCACCAGCGGCCATCCGTCAAACAAAAAGAGAAAAATCCCCCACACCTCCTTCTATCCATCCATCCATCCATCCATGGACTCATACCACGACAACAAAGCAAAGAAACTCCTGCGCCGCAACCACCCCTCCCGTCATCGATCGCATCATCAAACCGAGGGCATCCTCGCCGGCTGGTACTCCACAAGCCCTTCCTGATCCGCCCTCGTCGACGACGGAGCCGGATCGGGGAACCCCACAGCCTCCACACCACCCACACCATCACCATCGTCACCTCTCGCCCGCCGCGTGCGGTCCGCGACGCTTCTCGGTGTGGGGCCGTACCCAGCCTCTCCACCATTATCCGTCGGACGCCCCCTCTCGGCCGGGGTGACGTCGGCCACGTGCTCATCGCCCTCATCCGAAGGGAAGAGGTCGTTGTGCCCGACCCCCCTGCCCGCTGCCGGGCTGTTGCGGGGGTCGTGTGAGGAGGGGTGCATTGGCGAGGAGGGAGGGGGGCGTTGCAGGGGAGGGGTCATGCTGCCGTCGTCGGACAGGGTCTGTGGGAAGGGGGACCATGTGGCTGATGGCGGGGTGGATGAGATGGACGACACAGAGGCGTGGCCCAGGTTGGTGGAGTGAGAGCTGGTGTGGTGGGTGCGCGTCTTCTTGGGGGTGCGTCCGTGGCCGCTCCGGTGTGTGTGTGCGTGTGTGGCGGCCATCTGCTGGCGGGTTTTGATCCTCTGGTTGGTCTGGTAGTACGTTCGCACACTTGTAGCCAGTGCCCGCCGCCACCACATGCACCGGAGGTAGACGAACCAGATGCACGACGCCAGGACGATCCAGAAGAGCAGTACGCCGCCCCCGATCAGCACCCACCGCATCGTCGGCGAGATCTCCCCCTCGGTAGTGATGAGCCCCAGACCCATCCCGCCTTCTTTCTCACCATCAGCACCGCCATCTGTGTCACCATTCGTCCCGCCCTCCCCTCCCCCCTCCTCTGTTGACGGCGCCTCCGGGCTCTCATCTTCATTTGAAGGCGGCTTCAGCTGCAGATCGTTCGAGCTGGTGAGTGTCGACGATGCGTTGTCGGCGGCTGACGGCTCTTCCAGCTCTGGGGGCGGTGTGGATGGGGAGGGCGTGGGTGTGAGCAGGACGAATGACGTGGGTGGGTAGGACGGGTCGATGATGAAGTCGCGGTTGACCGGGGACGAGGGGTCCTGCATCAGCTTGAACCACGTCTCGGACAGGGCTGTAGGGGCGTTGCTGCCGATCCTGAATACACAAATCAATGCAGCTTTGCCGAATGCTCCTCTCTCCGCGCGTGCGTGTCCGGGTCACCTGAAGAGCACGATGACCGATCCTTCGACGAGCCTGAATATCTCCACCTCCTTTTGACCCACACCGAAGGACTCACTCAGCGTCTTGCGCAGCCGGCTCTCGGCCGCCTTGCGATTCCTCACATGCTGACCAGAAAGACACACACGAGCGACACATTTCTTGATCCATCCATCCATCCATGCATCTCGGCTCACCGTGGTGACCTTTCCAAAGTCCAAATCGAGCACCCTCAAGGACAGCAGCTCCACCTGTTCAGGACCGCTATCAATCTCCAACACCCCTTCCTCACCTTCATCGCCCTCGCCCCCGCACGCCATCCGCCCAGACACGCCCGTGCCAGCCAGGTTGACCTTCTTCTCACTCGCCGTCTCGTCGTGCACCGAGCACTCCGGCTGGTCGCTCTCGTCGTCGGTCTGGACGAACGTGAATGCGACGCATTCCTTGATGAGGTGGCAGGCCTCGGCGCACTGCTCCTTGCTGGACACGACGGCGGTCATGTTGGCGGGCAGCGGGAGGTCGCCGCCCTCGTACACGAGGCCCTTCTCGAAACACGAATCGGGGAGGGAGAACTTGGCCGCCGATTCTTCTGTCACATCTGTGGTCGTTACGCCGGTCTGGTCATCGGCATCGTCGTCGTGACACCTCCTGAGCCCCGACACGTAGTTGTCCCGCTTGACACGCTGTGCGTCGGCGGGGACATCTCCTTTGAGGAAGCACCCCCACGGCCCTTGTGACCACGACTCGCATCCAGATGTGGACAGGCAAGTCTTGGCGCATGAGAGGGGCGAGGCCTCGGAAGCCCCCAGGGGGTCGTGATCCGCCAGGGGCTTGATATCGAAATCGGTGTCCTCCTCAAAGCAGTCGTAGGTGTCCAGAACTGACACACGTGACGGACCAAACGGATGGTCGGATACTGGTGGTGGTTCTCGCCTGTGTGTCCTGACTCACTCTTGTCGATTTCGTCTTCTGTGAGCACATGTTCCAGTCCATCGATCTCGTTCATGCCGATCGTAAGAGAGCCGCCGTCGACAGTGACGGCGTCGGCAGTGAAGTGCGCCCGATTGACGTGAAAGGTGTGCGTCCGCCGCACCCATCGCTCGTCATTGAAGGTGCTGAAGTCATCCGTCCACTCGTGAGAGAAAGACGACGACTCGGGATCATAGCTGAAGATCCGCACACTCCTGTACTCTGCGTGTGGACAGAAAAGGAAATCTCTCCAGGCCGCGCATTTCTCTATGCTCACCGTTTTCCAGTGGCAGGTTGGCCGCAGAGAACTCCCCGGCCCACTCGGCGAGTTCCTTCTTGACGGCCCAGAGAGAGAAGTGCAGGTGCATGGGCTGGTCCAGCTTCTCCACCACGTCGCCCTCCACCTCCCGCACCAGCTGGTCGTCCACCATCCACCGCAGACGCTCGGGCGTCCACTCGACAGTGTAGTTGTGGAAGCCGCCGTCGCCGCTGCTCTCGTCTGCCAGTGGCGGGTCCTGCTTGTGGATCTCAAGGGAGTTGTCGAAGTCGCCGCTCCAGGCGCTGCCCGTGACGACGTTGGTGTGCAGCTCCTCGCCGCCGCCTTTGCCCATGATGGTGATGTCGATTTCTTTCCACTGGGAGCCCTCCTCCAGGTTCGACGGCGGCCACAGCAGAAAGATCGTCGACAGTGTGCCCGGCGCACCAGCGGCGCGAAAGGTGGCCTCGAAACGGCCGTAGAAGAAGCTCTGGCGGGTCATTATCTCACCTGCTCGCACAGACGACAGCACATTCCGCACTCCATCGTCTTTCATCGGGCTTCTCTCCCTCACTCACTCACCTGAGTTGATTTCTCGGCCGCAGACGCCCCAGCAGGCCCGTGACGGGCCCACACAGCAGCACTCGTCTTCGCCGCACTGCTCCACCACGTCCTTCTCGGCATCGTGAAAAGCACCAGCGAGAATCTCCTCGTTCGTGACCAAATGGCGGTGCTCCAGGGCGGCAGCAGACGCAGCAGAAAGCAGAGCGAGTGCCAGCAGTGATGGGAGCCTCGAGGCTGCCATTGATTGAGTAATATAGAGCCTGGAGAGGGGCGGCGCCTGTGGTCTTTGTCAGCACTCCATTCCCCCTCCTCCCCTCCTCTCCATCTCAGTGCAGCGCAGGGTGTTTCAGCACCGCGGCCCCTTGCTGTGGGCGAGTGTGCCCGCTTGAACAGCCGTTGTCCAATTATTTCTGTCCGAGCTCGCAAAAAAAGACGGCGAGAAAAAGGCGAAAAACGAGACGGAGGCATCTTACGGATGGTGCAAATGAAACCGACAGGACCATCGCAAAACGCTCTGCACTTCCCAACTTCCTCCATCTCTCTCTTGTGAGCCCAGTTCTTCCCTCCATAAGGACCGCCTGTTGTGTGTGCGCCACCCTCTGATCCGTCTGAAGTCCCCCCGTCCCCCTCATCTGTGCCGTCATCTGTCGCCCGTCCCCCGACGGACGTGGCAATGGTGACCCTCGAGAAAAGGCCTGGGGTAGGCTACGCCTCTGCCACCCCTGCGCCACCGCCGCTGTTTGCAACGGCGGGAGGGCTGACGATCAGCCCGCAGCTGCCGGGACTTCTTCAAGTTGAACCCGCACCGTCCTTTCTCCGCCAGAGCGCACCGCAAACCGCAGAACCTCGGTGTTGTTGTTGGACTGCCGTCCAACTCCATGGAGGGCACAGTCAGAGGGCTGAAGCCGCTGCACCGCCCACATACAAACGGTGAGCTGAGCACGGGTGGGTGGTGTGGGTCGCATCATGGTTTTTCATTGATACTTGTCCGTCCGTCTGTGTGCGTGCAGCAAGAGCAGCGCGTACGTGTTGCAGTACATCCAGGCCGCCAACATGGCTGCACTGCTCGGGGTCAGTTAAGAGCCGAGTCACTTAGGCAAAGTAACGATGGATGCACTCTGTGTGTGCAGGAGGTGAGCGTCCCCGTGCCCTTAGAGAGGAGCCTGCAGGAAGAGCAGGAGCGCATCAGTGCCTGGCGGGAAAGGGCCAAAGAACAAAACGATGACGTACGCAGCGCAACGCACCAACCCACCCACCCACCCACCACCGACCCGCCCATCCCCTCACACACACATGTGGGTGTCTCTCTGTCCGTACAGCACGGCCTGGTCACAGTGCTGTGCATCGAGCCGCTGCTGCGCCACATCAATGGCTACTCGGGCCCTCGCCGCGCTGCATTCGCTGCCACCTGCACCACCTTCCAGGACAGGTTGGTGCATGACGCAATCACATCAGGCCACACCACACCACTGTGATTGACGTCGTGTGTTGTGTGCTCACAGTGAGTTGAGTCACCTCAGCCTGTCCTGTGCCCTGCGCTCTAAGATGGAGAAGAGATGCCGATGGGGCGCCCTCGACAAATTAAAAGAGAACGTCAGGCGAGCTAAGGTGATGTTGCTTGGTGCTGTTGGTGCTGTTGCTGGTGGTTTGGGTGTCGGGTACAAGCGGCTGACCATCCTGCGGAGATTGCAGGAGGCCTTCTGGCACCTGCAGTCCTCGAGCGGCCCGGCGCCAGAAGTCTGATTCTAAATGCCTTCGAGTGGACGGCGGCGGAAGCAGGCCGACGGAAGTGGGGCGTACCAGCTCAAATACCACCACCACCACCATTTCTTGCTTGCAGCCAGCCAAAGGTCACCTTGATGCGAAATCAAACTGACGTTTCTAGCGATGTGTCTGTGCGTATATGTGTGTCAAGGCTCGAAATCGCTGTCGACATTTTATATTCGGTGGTGCGTCTTTGCCCCTCTCGATCGATCCCATTTGACAGGGCACTGCGGTTCAGTAGCAGGTATAAATGTATGCATGTATGAACAATGAGATGGATTGATGTGTGAGGATGGATGCAGTGGGAGAAGAAGACATTGTCTGTGAACTGGGAGGCGACCTGCACTCCACCTGCATCGGCAATGGCGCTGGTGAATGGCACGTCACTCATTATCTCTGCAGTCATCGAAAGGTGAACAGATCTTGCCCTTGCCCGTGCCCGTCATTGTGTTTGTCTTTTCTTGTGCCTTTCAGTATATGCATGGTGAGCGGTCTGACGAGCGAAGGTGGAGATCGACGACGCTGATTGCGTCCGGCAAATTCGGGTACATGCTGCTGGAGGCGTTCTCCGGCGGCCGCCACGCTGCAACCAAGGTCAGCAGAAGACGAAAATTTAGTTGGTTGCTCACCTCGGCTTCTCTGCTCGTCATCAGATCGGAGTTCCTCTCGACAGCCCAACAGGCACGTACGCAGACTTTCCTCTCCTGTGGCTCGGAACGGCTCTGATCCTCGGTTGCTGCATCGCTGCCCTTGAATACGTCACACGACGAGAAAGGTCAGATTCTCACACACTGAGTGCGGTTCCATGCGCATCTTTAATGGTCCCTTTGTCCTATGGTCCCTTTGTCCTGGCAGAGGCGACCGCCCCACGTTGAGTGAGTGAAGTGTCCCTGATACATGGATAACACAAGTCTGCCATTGCATTGTTGTTGTCAGCAATGCTCTACGGTTTCCTTAGTGGGCTTGTGGCTTTTCAGTTGCCACTGGACGTGAAGCAAGCAATCGACACTGAGTGTCCTGGCAGAGGCGACCGCCCCACTTTGACTTTCACCTCTCTCGACTTCGGCTGGCTGCTGTCCTGTATGTCAGCCTGACTTCTCGGAGCAAGAAGACGATGACGTACCTTACGGGCTATCTGCTGTGCCTTGGCGCGATCGGGGCCTGCATTTTGGACGTCAACAGCGGGTGATCAGTCACAGACATCCTTCCCCCAGGCTGCCACACCAACACAGCCATACGCAAGCTGGTGACCCTCGGAGGAGTGCACGCAGGTCCATCCGGATCATCGCCGACTCTGCGACTCATCGCCAGACGCACCGTCGTGCCTGAGGCTCCCCCCTCTCATCATCGAGTCCCTCCTTGCCAGCCACACACAAGGCCGGCTGCGCCGGCAACTGGGGCTGAAGCGTGCGCATGCTGTCTGTCGACAACAGAATGCGTCAAGGGCATCAAGGAGTGGGTCTTGGGTATTATTAGGTCAACCGGTCCTCTCAGCGTGCGTATACTTCTCTGCTCATGATCACATCGGAGTTCCTTTGGAAAGCCCCACATGCCCCTACACCGAGTTCCTGCTTCTGTGGCTCGGAAGAGCTGTGTGTTCTTCCGCTTTTCATCGCTATGCTAGGGCGGATCACACGACGATCAAGGTTAGCTTCCTGCCAGAGACGGTCAGACGACCGCCTGACACATGGACGAGACAAGTATGGCATTGCGTTGTTGTTGTCAGCAATGTTCTACGACCTGCCAGCTTCCATTGGAGGTGAAGCAGGCCATCGCATACAGAAATAAGGTTGGGAAGAGGACGACCAGCAAACATTCCTCGGCGCTTTACCTCGCGTGGATGTGTGTGCAGCCCTTTCTTCATGCGTTTTGTCAGTGCCCTTTGGAGATCAAACAGGCCACTGCGTACAACAGCAACGAGGTGAGGAGAGGGGCAGCCGACACACTATATACTGAGCCGACAAGCCATCCTTAGCACTTTACCGTGCAGCAATGTGTGTGTCTGTCTGCCTGCAGCACACCGAGCGAGTGATAGAAGCTGCCATCATCCAGGCAGGCAACCATCAAGAGAAAGCAGGAGTGCACGCCAATGCCTTGCTGGCCTCTTTGTTCGTGTCTCGTGTGTATCATCCGCACAGCAAGTGGTTCTGTATTGCGGTCTGCGCACGGGGAGGGCCAACGTCGCCATACCTGCATTCTGTGTGTCGCAGTGTGCATTCACAGCCATCGGAGGTACACGACAGCACGTCGACTTCTCTGCACACACCCACACCGATTGTGTATGGCGATTGGTGTCCACGTTCACCCACGGGCAGGGGGTGGTCACAGCATCGCCGGATGCCAAGAAGGTGGTGTGCCTATAATCGCAGCTGTGGTCGCTATAACCTTCGTGGGGTGCGCAGCGCACTCTGACCGCCCATTTCTGACGTTCTTCGACCAAAAGGTGCGCATTGGGTGTTGTATGGCGAGCAGACAACACACCAATTGTCTGTGTGTGTGACGAGAACCTGCAGCCGTTTCCGGGCCCCGATGATGTGGTAGCCGATGAAGTGGTAGAGCTGAGGGTGAAGCAGCATCAGGCACACAGACAGTGCTGTGTGTGTGTCGTCGTGTGTGCAGCCGCCAGAGGCGATAGGAAGCGCAAGGGCGACGAGCAGGCCGGCCCCCCCAGCAAGAGGAGAAAGGCCCGCCAGTAGCCGGGCGGCCGTCACGTCACCATCTGCCCTCCCGCCATCACACTCGACTGACTCTACTGCTCTTCTGAAGTTTTATTACTCAAGATCAGTGCGTCTGTCTGTTTGTGTGTGTCTGTGTGCGTGCGTGTGAGTGTGTTTGGTGGGTACAGGCTCGAAATCGTTGCCTACATTTTATATTCGTGGTGTTTTTTCCAAACAATCCATGTATTACACCGGCCTCCCCGCCGACCTGCCCCCTCTCCCTCTCTCTCTCTCCTACCTGGTCAATTTGTTTGACCTTTTGGCGGTGTGTGTGGTATGGGGAAGTATGACCTGCGTGCATTTATGACTGCTGCAGTCAGTCTACAGACGTCGTGTGGTGACTGTGTGTGCATTCGTCAGTACAGGTGCACCAAATGCCGCGATGTGCCTTTCGCTTCTCTCTCTGCAGTATCAGCACCTTCGTCTCGTCCGCTGGAAGCATTGAAACGCCAAAGATATTCATCGCATCTCGGTCGCTCTTTGATCGCGAGAGCATGCGAGCTAATCACACCTCTCCGTTCTCTCCCCTTTCTCTTTGCAGCCTGAGGACGCATCGACACTGACGCCTTTGGAAGATCCATACATGGAAGGGGACTTGCCGGCTGATCAGAGTTCGAGCGGTCCTCACGCTGATCTCATGGTGACGGCGACGTACAAGAGCAAGCCCTTTCGCGTGCCCGTTGACCCGAATGGCACCTGCGACCAGCTGTTTGCGCACATATGTGCGCTCCCTGACTTCAGCCATCAGCACATCCGGCTGCTATGCCTCGGAAGAGAGCTGAGGCCCGAAGACACCCTCAAAGACGCTGGAATAGAGGTGTGCATGGACGCAGGCAGACAGACAGAGGCAGTCCATGGTGATGAGTGCGAGTATGTGTTTGTGTGTGCCAGGAGCGCAGCAAGGTGTTGGTGCTGGCCAGCCCAGTGTCGGCAAACAAGGACTGGCGCTGGGCGGGCACTGCTGTCTTTGTCATCGTCGTGGCCATAGTGGCCATGTCCGTCCCGTTCCTTCTCAATTCTCGCTTTCCTCTCGTCTGGCGGCAACAACCGACGCACCAACAGACACATCAAGATGGTGAGTGAGGATCCCTGACCCTTCGTGAGAGATGGCAGGCAGATCTACTCACACACCGATGAAAGATCTGCCTGCCTTGTGTGTGTGTGTGTGTGTGTGTTTTGGCTGCAGGCTGGATTGTCGACGCCCATTCTCCCTTCTCGAATGTGACCACACCATTGACATATCCTGACAAATCGCAGCTGGCAGGTGGGAGAGCGGGCTGCTGTGTGTGGCGGCAATGACACAACCTCGTGGCTGTTGGGGTCTGTGTGTGTGTGTGCCCACCATCTCAGGTCTTCTGCGGGTGCCTCGATGCAGTGTGTGTCACGTGTTCGAGCCTAAGTACAAGAGGTGGGTCGCAACCGCCGCCCACAAGACCGCCGGCTGCTCCATGATGTGCCCCTTCCACTACCACTGCGACGTGCACAACTTCACCGCCCCCCCCCATCTCTCATGCCCCCGCCATCTCTGATAGCTTCCTGGGCAAGCTCGCCCTGAAGCAAGGCCTGATTGTGGATGACTGCTACTTGGCCGCTGCCATGACTTCTCTGCGATGCGGCGCGTTCAGCCTCTTCCGGCCTCGGTTCAGGTGACACCCGTCCCGTCCATGCATCCGTACGCATTTGATTGGCTCGCATTCGGCGTCTCTCTTCCTGCGTGTTTCCTGCCCTTCAGTGCAAGCAAGAGCCTGCCGTCTTTCTACAGCGCCGGACAGTTGAGCTGGCCGCCGAGGACTGACATTGTGCCAGACATGTTCGCCAACAACACGGCATTCACGATCGGCCCTGAGTTGATTGATGCCACGGACGCCGTCGAAATGCAGACATTGTGAGAGGGCACGTGGGACATTAGATACCTGTGGACAGCAATTGTGTTTGTGTCTATATGCGTGTGCACAAATTGCTGTCCATAGGAAAGTAAGTATTGACTACACGACAGGAAGTGTGCAGGAAATGGACTACGGCGACTACAACTACACCGAGAGCTCGGAACATTTCCGGTCACTCAAGGACCACCTCACCGGCCTGCTCGACGCACAGGAACAGCTGCGCAAGCTCATCCAGAAGCAGTCCTCCGAGTCCACGGGAGTGCCCCCTGCGTTTATGGAAATTTTCCACACCGACGCGTCGTTGCACCCACTGCAATTGAGCTTCCAGACCGCCTTCGCGCGGCTATGGCGTGACACTTATGGCCAGTCCCCGCATAGAGAGGTTAATAGCGTGCTGAAGCAGCTGACGGAGCGGTGGCTGGGAGTCGGGAGGGACCTGTTCGTCCTGTACAGTTTGGGCAGCTTGACCTATGTCAACAAAGCCCTCGCATCGCCAGAGAAGCGCTGGACAGATGCAGCAGCGGCCCATCGGATCGCGACGCTCTTCCGTGTGTTCTTCCGATCGGACCTGACCCATCTGGACAGCCTGGTGCCCTCCAGCCTGGACGACTACGACGACGTCTATCGCATAGCGACGGCATCGCGACGGCTCATCGATCTCGCGTACCAGAAGGGCATGCGGGTCTCGTGGCCGACCTTCGCCTCTACCACACTCAGCGAATCGTTGGGAAAGAACTTCACCGGAGGCTTGGCGGAAAAGATCGCGACGGTGAACTTCGATGTCCGGCCAGGGCGGCATGGCGGCGGGTTCAAGTTCAGTATGCCCTGGGGCTTGGCGTACATGAATGTGTTCTTTCGGATATCGCTGGAGCCGTGCCGCCAACAGCAGCGTGTGCACGTGTACGCCCCCCGGCTGCTGTCGCGCATATCCTTCTACACACACGAAGAGGAGATCCTCCTGCCGCCGCTCTACCCACTGCGCGTCGTCAATCTGAAGACAGAAAAAGGTGCGTCCACAGAGAGACCGCAATACACGAGTCACGTATGTTGCTTGGGTGGGTGTTCGATCAGGCGGCAGGTCAGGTCCCCAGTTCCACATCTCTTTGGCAACCGACTGCACTGCAGCACCACGCAGTGAGTAAGGAGAGACGGGAAGACCGACCCACAGGTGCGCAGGGACAGGTGGACAGACAGATAAACAGATGGATGCATTGCTGGGACTGCTCTCTTTTCTCCTCTCGTCTTTTGTGTTTGTTTCTGCCTGCAGTGCATCGCCATCAGAACTAGTATTGGCGACAAGAAATGCTGTCCACACAGACAGCCATCCAGCTTTCCAATCGTAGACAGCCGTAGGAGCCTTCCGGCCGGTAGCGTGACACAATCAAGGGGTCCGCAGCCGTTTGTTTATGCGTCTTCGTAGGTGTACAGACAGATACAGCCGCGGGGCAGACAGATACAGCCGTGGGATGTGTGTGTATTCTTTCCGTCCGAATGTGTGCATCTTGGTGCGGTGAGGTGGGGTGATGAATAGATGTACATGGAGTCAAGTGGAGGCTTCATTGACTGTGAAGAGGCGTCCGGGTGCTGCATATGTGCAGGTGCATGGCTATCGTGTGTGTGTGTGGTGTCTTTGTTCTCTGTCTGTCTGTCGCGTACATGACATTGTGTGCATGGGACAAACATGGACTTGCACGGCCCGAATTACTCTGAGAGTGATTACTCTGCACTGAATGATAATCGTCCCACTCGTGCGCAAATGATTCACGCACACACACAGACACATATATGTACACACAAACGTATCAAGAGAGCTCGAGAGAGAGAGAGGCAAGGCAGATTGCGTGCACGCAAACGAGACGAAAGACAGTGCCCTGTCATCCAATTGCAAGACAACCGGACGAATGGCAGACAGAGAGGCAGGCGGACAGACAAAAGCGCAAAAGGATCACGGAAGCAATATGTACAGATTTGAAGCTACACAGAACAGCTATAGATGAAAACTGTTCATAGATGTGTTCAGACACAGACAGTCACTCCCTTATCGACACCAGACAGCCGCCGCCAGGCACAAACAGACAGGTACTAGTCGTTGGCGCATGCAACAAGGTTGTGTGTGTCGCAGTTGGGGGGTTTCCCTCGCTTGTGGCACGTTTTTCTCATGGCAGCAGTGGCACGGTGGTATTTGGGGTTTAATGCGATTGGCCCATCCCCGAACTTGATGCCGCGACGGTCATTGTACAAGTCGACTGCGATGCACCATTGACGATCGGTGCGGCCTTTCGCCCAGCGGACCTCGCACCTTGCGCATTGTTTTTTACAACCGGCAAGGGCGCGACTTCGGGCGTAGCTCATCTTGGGGTGGCGGCTCAAATAGACATAATGTCTTCCGTTGCATTTCCCACCGGCAAGCGCCATCGCAAATATGGCTGGCGCCGACCTTGGCGTCCGCTGCAACGCCCGGAGGGACAGATCACCTGCACACACACATCCATGAACACGCACATACAGCCGACGGCTCGTCAATGTCAGTGACTGGATGTGCGCCTCACTCACCGATTGGGGTCTGTGGCTGAGGCTCATCGACAGCCGACTCATCACCATCAACCTGCACACCCCGCACACAGAGAGCTCCAGTGTGTGTACATTGTATCTGTACATATTTATGCGTGCGTGTGTGTTTGTGCTAGCGCCCGGTGCCCACCTCATCTTCATCCACCTCATCTTCATCCACCTCATCTTCATCGTCTTGCAGCTCCATAACCTCCACAGACTCGCCCTCGCCGCGGTCTTCCTCGGGGGGGACGGTCTGACAGACAGACAGAAAGACAGACAGACAGACAGACAAGTAGGCGCATGGCGTCCGAGAGGGCTGCGTGTTCCCTACCGGCCCCGAATCAGCGACGGCGGCATCAGCGGCGGCCCCATTGCCCCGCAGCGATGACTTCGCGCCGAGGTCAGCGCACACAGGCAAGGCTGTCGGCAGGAGGGCGGCGCCAACAAGGCACAGAAGAACCTTCATGATCGTCGAGAGAGAGAAGCTTTAAGATGAAGTCGTTTCGCTGCCGCAGAGAACTTAAGGGACTGATGATGGATCAGATGCCGACGAGCCGGGAGGGATCTCAGGCCAAGACAGAGACACCACGACAGAAAGTGACGACAAGAGAGAAGAGAGCGGTGGAAGGAGAGAAGAGAGATCTATCGGGCGGGGCGGATGTGCTCTCATTCGTTTGATCTGCTCTTTCTTGTGCGTGAGAGGAGTGAATAAACTGTGCACACGCAGCAGACCAGGTCGTTTGAAGCGATTCGTTCGACCTTTGCGAGCTTGCAAAGGGCGAGCTTTTGCTGAGGCGATTTTCCTTTTGTTGCGCAGGGCGGGCTGCACGGACAGCGAGATGCGTCGCGGCCCTTCGGCGGGATGCCGACCGTCTTTCATGGACATCCCTGGGCTTGTGACGATGGTGGAGCTCTTCCGCGGCAACGACAAGAAGATCTTTCCCTTCTTCTTCCCCGGACTGCAACACTCCAAGCCAAAGGCAACATTTGGTGCAAAAGGCCTTATCAGCAATGAACACACAGCAATGAAATTTCTGCTTCATGACTTGTGTGTGTGCGTGTGTGTCGTGCAGCACGCCTGTGTTGAAGGGCACCGCTGGGGCTGCTGACGAGCGTCGCGTGCAGCTGTGCCTCGTGTCATGCGTCAGGGAGGTAAGCTGACAAAGACAATGGCTAGGTGCCAGGAGGACGTGTGTGTGTGTGTGCGCGCTGCCTGCAGGATTTGGACCAGTTGGTCGCGAGAAGACGATGATGCGAACCAAACTGGAGGAATTCGATGTAACGCACACACAGACAACCACCCTGACACCCGCTCTCTTGTTGGCTGTTCACATGTGTCAGTGTGCGACTTTGCCCAAGGCTGTGGAGAGCTCCCGTAAATTTCAGATGGAGACCATATCTGCGGCAAAGGCGGCCCGAGGAGGTCCAGCCCGACCTCGTCACACTCACTAAGGACAAATTCGACCTGGTAAGTAGACAGATAGAGAATCGACGGGAGGAGGGGGGGGCCAGGTGTTCGAGTGTGCGGCTTCGATGTGTGCGTGTGCATCATCAGACTCAGAGTGACGCGTATCGGCTGCCGCTGGGCACTGTCACGCTCGTCGGTTTCGTCATGCTCCTGTACGTAGCTAACACCACACAGACACACACACACACACCACACACACACTGGTGTTGACTGTTTGGTGTGTCCCCCAACTATGTGTGTCTACGGGCTCCAGCGTTACCAGCAGCAGGCTGGCCTGTCCATCACATCACACGACTGGTCCGACACACGGGGCAGCGAAGGCAATGCAGATGGACGGGCTGCCGACGACGGCGTGTCGTGTGTAACTGTACTCGGCTGTGTCTGCCGGCCGGTGTTTAGTGTGACACCATCTTGTTTTCCGTCCTGTTGCCGATCGGCGATGTGTCTGCTTACAGCGCCATTTTCGTCGTAGGGCAGGGCAGACAGAAAGTACTGTGGTGTGTGGCGTAGACGCGATGCGGTGCTCGCCGTGGTGGGGTCTTGTGACGACGTCGATGCGCCACAGCGTGGCGCCATATTCACATCTGTCTGTTGTGTCTGCCTCTCTGCCTGACCCAGCTATCCTGAGAGGGTTTTCGATGGACGAGCTGCATGACGTTCCGTGTCCACACCACTGTGTTGTCCGCCGCCGTTGGGCCTTTTCAGCAGACAGGCAGACAGAGAGGACAGGACGGCTTTTTGGTGTTTTTTGTAGTCTGGATGGGAGGATGAAGGTTTGCTGCCTAGTAGCTAGAATGGGTGCCGTCCCTCTCACCGTGATGGGGTCTCATCGCTCGGACGACCTTGCGGTGGTTGGTATCCGGCGAGCGTGGTGGTGTCTGACTCAGAGAACCGTAGCGCACTGGTGCACGAGTGAATCGTCTCAGTGCATCACAGCGTTACGGCTTGGTGGACGAGAACGACACGCTTGAACCGGCATATGTATATCTATTTTGCAAGGAGCTGGACTGACACACTTTTTTGGCGGGTTTTCTTGCTGCTGGCGTCTGCGCTGGCCGGGAGTGCCTTGCCCGTCTGCATCACGAACTTGGACTCCATGTGATGGTTGAACGGTCGCTCTGCGGACAGCTTTGGTACTTATCACAGTCAGTGCAACTGACTTTTGCACGAGGACTGGAAGGTTGACATGCAGGCGGACAGCACATGAATGTGTGGATGGATGCCTTGACCAAAGCGTGTTGAATGAGTCCGTGGCGAGCGAACACGAGATCATGTTTGTGTTGAAGGAGATATATGTATACACTGACATGTTCAATCAATCGTCTTACACGCGTCTGTCCCTCTACGGCCGAAAAGGAAAGGCCAACAACCGAATTGCTTGCTCAACCTGCATTGCAATCACACACACACGAGACCAGGAAGCCGCCACACACACAGTAATGGTTGGCATACGTCTCTGTGTGCCTGTCTGCCTTTGTGCTCGGCACATGCGCGTACGGACCTCTTGTTTGTCGGGTTGTGTGGCGGTGTGCTGCAATAGCGTCACGAGCTCGTCCCATGCAGCAGCGGACAGGCTCAACACACGAGCCAACAAGTCAACATCCAACTGACATTGCACACACACACACACCCCGCTCATGTGTCCTTTGTCTCTCGTGTGTGTGTGTGTGTGTATGCACCGACCAGTCCCTTGGTCTTTGAGAACGTGCTCCTGCACGCCTCGAGCGGCTCGCCTGCGCAGAAGACCTCCTCCCTCACGGTGCCGCACCTGTCCGCCTCCTCCCCGAGCTGCCACATCGACATACCCGACGACTGGCTCCAGCCGCCCCACCCACCCAGCACCGGCAAGGGCGGCACCGGCGCGTCAGGGGCATCGTCTGCTGCATGGTCGGGGGGGAGTCCTGGCCCGTAGAGCTCGAGAGTGGTCCACCGCTCCTTCGTAAAGGGGGCAGGCCTCCTTGTTGCTGTGCCTGTGGCCCTCCTCTGCTTGGTCGGGGAGCCGTCCTTAGTGCCCTTGCCACTCTCTCCCTCACCCTCTTGCTCTTCTCCCTCTGGCTGTTTCTCCTCATCCATGTTGCCGTTGTTGTCATCCGCTGCGTCCTCTCCTTTCCCAGGACCACCACCAGCAGGTGCTGGAGGCACCGGCCAGCCCAGCCCCTGCTGCGCCCACCCCCTCAGGAGCGACCGGCCAATGAGCCGCAGACACAGCTGCAGATCCCGGCAGATGGCGAGTGACCGGGCAGGATGGAATGACGCCAGTGGGGGGGCCGGCGTGGCGATTCGTGGGTCGCCGAGTGGCGGGAGGCCTGATGCGTCGATGGTGGCTGATGAGAGGTAGGGGTGGTATGACGAGAGGGCCGGCAGTGGGGGCGACGGCGGCGGGGAGGGGAGGCGGGGTGGTGTTTTGGTGTCGGTCTTGCTGGCGTCCATCGTGTCAATGTCGTCCACCGCTGGGATGTGCACGTGCGTCGGGCGGGAGAGGGGCTTGGACTCGTCGCAGATGTCAAACAGCCCGTTCACCTGAACAAGCAGCCCGGCGCCCACGAAAAACATAATAATCGCAATATGTACTCATGATGCGACCGACGCAGACGTACCTGCCACAGACAGCCCAGTGCGCCTTCACGCGTCGGACACAGCACTACCGATGACGGATCTCGCAATATCCTGCACACACACACAGTAAAACACGCGAGTCCACGAAGCACATATGCCTCCCGCTAGGCCCCTTGCTGACCTCGGCCGCAGCTCTGGTGGCGGCTGGGTGGGCAGGAAGGCCAGAGCGCAGTCCCCGCCCAAATTGAACCTGACGACCTCCTGCTGCTCTCGCGCGATGGGCTCATCGGGGTTGCTGCTCTCAGGCGGCGGCTGGCTCACCACTATGTCGCCATAGCCGTCGGCCAACACACACACGAAATCGCCCTCCAGGTCCGGCTCGCCATGGGTGTTGTCGGCCGTGCCGGACTGTGTCGGGACGTCACGGAGGGGCAGGACAATGCCTGAGAGACACACACAGACACACACACACACAAAGGGATGCGTGTGTGTGTCTGTGGGGCGGGGGGGGAGGGGGAGGAGGGCGTTGGGGCAGCCAGGTCGTGTACCTGTGTGGAATTTTCTCGGGTGTTCGTGGACGGAGCAGGCGACCAGCTTGGCCGTCTCCTCGTCATACTCGAGCAGTGTCATGCCCTCCTGCACACACGCATACAACGCAACGAACACATCAATGAGTATGTGTGTGTGTGTGCGTTCGTGTTTGGTATTGGCTGCCCACCCATGCGTCGAGGACCATCAGCACGCTCCCATAGGCAGACAGGGACACCACCTGAAGCACACACAACACAACAGTGCCCATCCGGCATCTTTCTGTCTGTGTCTTGTGTATGGATGGATGGATGGATGGCTGCTGACCCGTTGGCCCATTGGGAGGAAGGTGACAAGCCGTAGCGACACGCCTCCCTCGTGTGCTGCCGTGCCGTCGGCCACGTCGGAGTCATGGTCGTGCAGGGCCAGGGCGAACAACAGCACCTGCACGCATACACACACAAAGCAACAATGCATGTGCCCACAGATATGATGCGTTTGCAGCAACTGACCAGTCTCTCGGCAGCCACGGCGAGAAAGTCAACCTGGAAGGAGAGGTCACAGCAATGCCTCCAGCCTCTCTGCCGTGTTGTTGTCATTTCTCACCATGAATGGGCAGACGCACTGCACGGGCCTCTCGAGCATGACCTTGGCCACAATGTTGAGCTGCAGCCATCGGGGCGGGGGGATCTCTGCACCACCACTCTCGGTGTCGCCGAAGCCCTCCAGACACGTGTCGGGCAACCACCCAGTGCACGGCGACAAAGACGATGATGCGGGGCGCCTGCAGTGGAAGAGAAAAACGATAAATGCTTGCTTTGCTTTGGCGGCCGGCTCGGTGGTCTTTCGTGCTCACTTGCAGTAGCAGAGGCCCGTTGCGGTTCGTGCGATGACTTTGAGGGACTCGCCGACACTGAGGCCGTCAATCGGAGGGACATCAGGGGGCACCTCCCCGACCTGCACACAATAGATGCATCCATCCATACATTTGGAAGGCTCTGACGTGCTCCCAGACTGTCTGTCTGTCCGCCCACGTACGTCTGGCAGCCGCACCACACACCGCCGCACCTCACCATCGTCAGCAGGCTGCACGCAGCACATCCATCCATCCATCCCAACCAAGCACCCCGCATCCCACCAGCCCTTTGCCCACCTCCTCCCTGTATCCGACGGAGAACAGCAGCACCCTCCCCTGCTTGGCCTCCTGCCGCCCCTCGCCCACCAGGTACTCCACGCCATCGATCACCTCACCCCCCGCAGCTCCCACCGCCGTGCCCACCACCAGCAGGGCCGACGTCAGCAGAGATGACGGGGCGCGTGGGCCGTCGGGACAGAGGGACGGCTTGGGCGGAGATGACACCGAGAGATCCATGCGCTTCTGAAGCTGCATCCAACGTGGGAACGATGCAGAATGGCTGGTGATGGTGAGATTGTGTCCACCATTCGTGACCTTTTCGATGAGGTATGGGTGTGGGGTCCAGAAGCATGTCGCCTCAGGTCGCTCGTAGCCGTGGCCCGGCGGCCACTTGGCGATGGGGCCCTGCCGCTGAGAGGAGCTGTCGTCACGCCGGTGTGAAGCGAAGGGCAGGAAGTGGTCGAGCGTGAAGGCGTCTGAGGCCGCTGACGGCCCCGAGGACGGGGGCGATTCAGGCTGATCGACAGGACAGACAAGACAAGACAAGATGCGAAAGGCAGATTGCATGTGTGTAAGTACCCACCCACCCTCCGGTGCTCTGTATCTCTATGCTACTCACCCTGCACTGTCCGGCCATGGCAGTGATGGGCATCCGCCCCACACCCACGCCCCACTCGCCGCCGCCAACAATCGACGGGACCGATTCCAGCGGCCCCTGCAGCATCCGCAGTGTCCGTGGAGTCAGGTCGGCTGCCGAGAACCGGGGCGATGGCGGGAGCGGGCCTGGGGGCAGGTATCTGCCGGTGACGACGCAGCACTGGGGCACAAAGGGGTGCACGGCCAAGGTGGAAGCGGCTAGAGGCAGTGAGAGCTGGTGGCTCTGAGCAGGGACAGACAGAAAGCGACACATGAACGGGCCCGGGAATTTTGTGATTTGTGTTTGTCTGTTTCCTCCCTCACGCACCGTGGCCATGGTTGCCTTGTCGACCCTGAAGAACTTGAGACGGCTACCCTCCGTGTAGGCCAGCAGCCCGTCCATGCCAGCCATCACCGCACCCCCAATCAGCTGCCACACCAACACACAGACACAGACACAGACATGCACACAGATCCATCAACGAACCGAACCACGCAGACGGCTCACCCGGTCTGTGGCGGGCAGCCAGACGGGCATGGCTTGCAGTGAGGGAGGCAGTGCTGGCCATGGAATCGACGCCGTCTGGTCGGCCTGATGTTGGCTGTCGACGTGCAGCATCCAGGGCTGGTCCGTGAGGGCCAGAAGGGAGGCCGGAGGGATGGGCGAGAGGGACACTGGATGGATGCCCAGCGTCAGAGAGATCGGGGGCGACCCCATACCTACAGCGATGGATGCGATGGATGGGTGAGAGACAGACAGACACGCTGTGGGTTTCATGCGTCATATGGTCTGGTCTGCGTGTTGGCTCACTCACTTGTCTGCAACTGTTCAATCCACTGGTCGACTCCCTGAGTGCGATCGATGCTCATCGCAGGAATCGGCCACCCGCGGACACACCCGTTCCTCAACCCCACAAACACATACGGCCCACACACACTGAAATGAAACGTACAACACACATGCGCACATGACATGCAGAAGCCGCGTTTCTTTCCCCTCCTCGGGCTTCTCGCTCACGCGATGGCTTCCGGCACTCCGGGGTCTCCGCCGTCACCCGTCCCCTTGTCCACCTTGACGCCAACCCCCTCGCGCACCTCCACACCGCCACCCACATACCCCACCACATGGACGTGCAGTTCCGATGTGACCAGGCCGGCAGCGAGCAGGGAGAGGGACGGCCCGAGTGTGTGTAGGAGGACGGCTGTGGTCTCAGCGGGGAGTGAGAGCGATGGCGCAGAGGGCAGGGGGAGCGGGCGGATGCCGGACGGGTCGGTCGGATCCACACTCAGGAACGCAAGGGCTGCAAGTTCAACAACACAGAGCGGAACTCGGGGCCATTCGTGTGGTGTGGTGTTCTGTTCTGTGGACGCACGCACCTGGTCCAGCGCCTCCCCTCGCGCCGTTCAAGGCCACGACCACCACATTGCCCTCTCCGCCGGCCGCCCCCACCGTCCCCCCGCCCATGGCGTGCGGGGTCCAGGTGAAGCGACCGGTGCATGTGAGCCCAGCGAGAGGCGATGAGGGGTCGCTCTCGAGGATGCTCAGCCGCACTTGGTGGGACGTCACTTGGATGACGGCCTGCGATGGTGGTGGTGACGGTCTTGCGCTCGCTGATGCTCCCGATGTCTGACGCCGAAACGACCGGATCGCTGTCCACAGAGAGGGATCAGACCCCACCAGACCTGACAAACAGGCAGACAGGGGAGAGATGGACGGGTGTGCCATGCCCTGGTGCCATGTGTCTCACCGAGGTCATTTGCATCGACTTCCATGATGGTCGGCACCCCCTCCACGGCCGCATCCATGTTCTCCTCAATCTCCTCGTCGATGGACATCGATCGCTGACCCTCGGGGGCCAATGGATAGGTGGGCGGCGCCTCGTTGGTCTCCGCATCCATCGGGGCGGGAGCAGGGGTGGGGGCGACGTCAGTGCTCTCTTGGGGGGCTTGGCCGGCCGTCATCTGAGAGAACAGGAGCCGATGACAGTGTGGGGGTATGTGTGCATGTCATGTCATGTGGGTGCGGGTGGGGCTTACGAGTAGGAATCTCGTCTCGGCGACGAAAGACAGGACGAGAAGGGTGGATGCTGGTCTGGGGACGGACAGACAGACACGGGGGGACGAAAGGTCGTATGACATCAATGCCCTGTCTGTGTTCAGTGCTCTCCATGCTCACTTGGAGTTCTTGTCCTCGGTGCTGCCACCGTCAGAAAGAGCGATGGCAGTGACGCCCCGCGCCCTCGCCTCCAACTCCAGCTCTGCCGGGCCATCGACCGCAGGATGTCCTGACGGACACACCGACACACGCACATATGGATGGACACTGCGCACACGAATGCCTCTCTCTGCCCCATCTGTCTGTCTACCTGGTGCGATGATCTGAATAGCCGACGAGGGGTACCTCCCGGCCAGGCCCACGACACGCGGGATCTCCTCACAAAGAGAGTCCACCATCACATCGCTCTCCCCGCCATCCCCTCCACCAGTTCCTATCAGCTCTCGCATCGGCACACGCCCACTCATGTGCGCCACAGACGACCATGGCCCGAGAGGGACAGGGCACGGCAGCGGCAGTGGTGCAAACGTCGCCTCAATCTGCCCGAGTGGGCTCACTTCCATCCACAGATGCATCAGCCGATGGCTGCCCGCCGCCCCGATCATCACGACTTCCGTTCCTTCCCAGTCCCGCCCTCTCGCCTTGCGCACACCGCCGCCCACAGCCCCCAGGCTGACCATGCACTGGCAGGGAGAGATGGCGGGTGGGGGCGCAATGCCGGTCAGAGTTGCGCTTGGCGGGAGACTGAGGGTCTTCTCTGTGTGGCCGCCAATCCAAGTCGCGTGGATGGCAACAGGGTCGCGAACCGACCGAATCATCATCATGCGACCCTCTTGGTCCTGAGAAAATAAATGCACACGATGAGAGAAGAAAACTGAGTTGCCATGGACGTGTCTGTGTGGCTCACCGCTAGGAGAAGGCTTTTCCGGACCCACATGTGGCAAGCCACGATGCGCGAGTGGGGCTGTGGGGGCGTGGCCTCCCGGTCCTCCTCGATGTGAAGGAGCGACTCGTCAAAAGGCGGCGGCCGTGCAGACGAATCGTCCCTCGTCATAGCTGACGGCAGCCTCTCATTCAGCCGGTGAAACGACCGACGAAACAGCCGCCACAAAGCACTTCTCGGCCCACTGCGTCTCTGTGGCGGCGCGTGCGGGGGGAACGATCGACACCTCTCCTTGAGGGCCGGCCGCGAGTTCTCGTCCGACGTCCTGTCCTCACTGTGTCGCTTTCGTCGCGACGGCTTGGCTGGCTTGGGGAATGGGGGGTGCGGGATGATCCAGCGGTCGTCTTGTGGCCCGCCGGGGGGTGGGGCGGGCGGTGGGGTGAGGTCGGCGGCCATGGGGGCCGGTGAGGCAACTGACGGGTGTGTGATGGCAGCGGTCGACAGGTCGACGGTGGACATGTGGGTCACGTCGATGGCCCCTGGCGCCTCGGGGCTGACTCTGAGCACGCCCATCCGGCCCTCCCCCATAACGATGAGGCACCCGCTGTCTGAGTTGTCTTCCCTCGGCGCCACAGCGAGACCGGTCGCCGCGCCCGTCACCTGCAGGCGGAACACTGGGTCGAGGTCGGCCACGCCACCACGAGCACCCGACGGCCACGAAGGAGGGACCAAAAAGAAGTACACACGGCTCGACGGACCAGCAAGACAGAGGGCCGTCAGCACCAGGACGAGTTCGTCGTCGACGTCTCCCCTCTTGCCCAGTTCCAGCCACGCGACGGACCGCACCACCCCAAACGCATTCAGGGGCAGCGGCGGCCGAGACGACGACAGCGGGAGCACATAGATGCGGTGCGTCAGGCTGGCCACGGCAAACAAGCCCTGCCTGCAAGCGAACACACACACACACAGAAGTGACGAGGTAGGTGCTTCTTGCACACGTGCAGCACCCCAACGAGTGCACTGACCTTGCCATGACGGCTAAAGCAGTGCCCGCCATGACAGCACTGTGCATCAGGTCGCACCGCGGCATGTGCCGCTCATCCTCGCACAGCCCGTCCCTGACGTCGACAGCACCGTGTGACCCCTTCCAATGGCTGGGTGACGGCAGGGGCCGCACCGGCAGCCTGCCAAACGATCGCAGCTGGCGGAAGTGCGTGGGGGTGACCTCCAGCTGGGCGATGACGCCGCGGGCTGTCAGCACCTGATCGATGGATGCACAAGCAGGCCAAGCAGACGCTCATTGAATGGCGGGGGAGGAATGGCTACCAGAAGAGTGTCGAGTGGGACGGTCTCGTCAGTGTCAGACAGGGCGCTGCCCTCCACCACCTAGGGGGGTGCAAGCCAAGCCATCAGGAGCGTTACAGCCATGCATTCCCGGCGGTCATGTATACTGTCTGGCAGGTCAGCTGACCTGCATGTCCACGATGGTGCCGAACATCGCCTGCCGATAGAGAGACGACCATGACGGCCGCAACACAATCACCTCGAGACGAGATACCTGCACACAACACACACACATGACACAATCACACATTAAAAAACATCACACTGGCCCATTGTTATCGTCTTCTCACCTGATTGAGCACCAGATGCGTGTCATGGCGCGACAGAAAGTGCCCTTCCACCCCGCCTCGGCAGCCGGACGACGGCTGAAGGGTCTGATACGCAAACGCCGGGCTGCTCATGGCCATTTGTTCATGAATCAAACGCTTTCACGCAAGATCTCCTTCATCATCCTCTCCAAAGATCCTCTTACGTTCTGCATTTCAAAGCTCGCAACGATCAGGATGCCAAGATGAATTGATATGACGTTTGAGCGTTCCTGGTGGCCGAGCAGGGGATACTCTTTCACTTCATCCACAGCAACGAGATTCCTTCGTTCATCGGCGGCAGTATTGGTTTTGTAGCGGTTGGAGGGCCGTCCTGATGGCCAAAGGACACTGCCCAAGCAGAGAGGAGGTGAGGCAGACTGAGAGGGACGAAAAAGCTGGAGCAGCCGCACCCAAACAGGCCGTTTTCTCTCTGTGTTGTTGATCAGGGTGTAGATGGGACGTTGCTTGGTGACGGTGATGGCGCTGAAGACCCACCACAGCCAAATGGACAGCAGGTGCGTGCACGATGCACTCATACACAGCCGGCAGCACATCCACTTCCATTGCAACCAAACAGAAGTGGCTGCTTTGTCTTGTCTGACTCGTCGTGTTTGGTTCAGGCTGCTGCCTCAGCGTCCATGACCGTCGACGATGTCGTACGCGACGTCATAGGTAGAGTGGTAAGCATCAACACAAGTGCATCAGGCAGGCCGTGGTGATATGAGCTGATCGATTGGTTGTCCTCCTTTGTTGTCTGCAGCCTGGTCTCGTTGTTCGCTTCATCGCCTTCCTCCCGCTCCACCTGCTTATGCAGCTGTCGCGACACTCACGGGAGCAAGCGGTCCCTCACCAAAACCATCAGCACGGCCACGGCAGCCGAGCGGTCTTTCTGGCGACGACTGCCCCTCGAAATCATCCAGGAACTGGCCGCATGGCTCACACAGCTGACGGCCATCACCCTCCGCTGCCCAGTCGGTATCGCTGGCTGGTGCTTCGACGTTATGGTGACGATCGTTGAGGGGCACGCCGAGGCGCGACGGGCCAGGGGGATGCACCGAGGGACGCTCACCAGCATCAGCATGATCCGTGGCGTCCAATTGACAGACCGACAGCTACGCACCCTCCCCCTGAGGACTCTACATCGTCCCCCGCCTGTCGTCATGCGGCCGACCCTCGACGCCCTCACGTCCATCACGGGCCTGGAGGTGGTCCATGACTCGTTGGCTGAGAGAGGCTGGGAGATGCCCTCGTTGGCCCGAGTGGAGCAGGAGGGATGGTCCGGCGACAGACTGGGGCGACTCATCGTGTCGTCCCGGTCTCTGCGGCGTGTGAGTGGACAACTCTTCTGGTCCTGGGTGGAAGCCTTCGAGGGCATGCCGGTGGCAGGGCCTGGCGAGGCAGGCCCGCTGAGCCAGCTGGAGGCCATCGGCACCATCAACATCACTGCGCAAGAGCTAGACCAACTCCACGTAGGATCATCGGAAAACACCCACGACAGTGGTCCGTGTCACACACGTGTCGTCCTGTTCTTGCATGCAGGCGACGCTGACATCGCGTGGCTGCCGGAACAGCATCAAGCAGCTTGACCTCAGCATGTCTGGCCTGGTGGGCTCCGACATAGCCTTGCTGTCGGCCCTTGATCGGTTCGTAGCTGCCTGCTGTGCGTCGCCCGACATCCCAGTCACGTTCGCCGCCTCCCTCGTCACATTCAACCCCATGATCCTTTGCCACAGCGACTTCCCCGCCCATCCGTCTCCCGCCCTCACCTCCGTCATGAAGCAGGTCGCCGAGCAGACAGACGATGTGCGGTTCGACCTCACCCCCAACCCCTCCCTCACGCCCGCCCCCAAGCAGTCAGCGATCGACCTGGCCGGGCAGCTGTCCTTCGCCAACGCCAAGACAGTGACGTTCAACAGCACCCATGTCGATCGCAACTCCCCGGTCCCCCGCCCCTCGATCTTCGGACACATGCAGCGCATCTCCAACTGTGAAGTGCTGCGCCTGCTCGGCCGTGTGGATGAGGAAAGCAGTCGGCTGCTGGCGTCGAAAATGCCCACACAGTTGCACAGGATGGATATCAAAAGCATGCCGGTCAGTGACGCGGTGGGCGCCATGCGGGGGCTGGGGAGGGACCGGAGGGTGGAGTGGTTGGAGTTCGGATTTGCGGTGATGGATGAGGGCAGCATCGATCAGTTGGTGGGGGCGGCGGCCGACTTGCCCGTCATCCACTCACTGTGCTTTAATCTAACGGGTCAGAGGCGCACACAAGACGCCACATGCCATGAAACATCCAACGCCTCTGTCTGTGTCCTTTCAGTTCGTGAAGACCGGGCGGACAAGGACGAGTACGTGCGTCACACCCTCTCGTCACTGCTGCAGCAGCTGAGAGGTCTGCAGCGACTGGTCATGTACCTGGTGACTTTCACCGAGATGACAGCCGTGGCGGATGGCACGACTCTCCACGGCTTCACAATTCGAACGGGCGCTCTCGGGTTTTCCCTGGAGGCTCACCGCCGCTCTTGAGCAGGTGAGCTGTACAGCGTCGCCCGTTTCCCGCGTTTCATTACCTTGTTACGCATCTGATTGATCAGGTGGCCGGCGGCCTCGTCGCTCCATCCCCTCAAGACACAACGGGGCAGCTAGCTGTAATTGAGGGATCTGTGTAGCTGGCCTGTTGGCTGACCACGTACTTAGATGGTGGGTAGCTGACATGGAGAGGCAGGCAGGCAGTGGAGCAAAATGATCGGCTGAAGATGAGTTGGCCAGCCGTGTGTGTAGGAGGAATGGGCGCTGTGTGTCGACTGCTGAGTGGGGTGTACAGGTGCATGTCGATGACCACCAGTAGATGGATTTGTTGATTGATGCATATGCACTGTGCATGTCGCCTTCAATGCATCACATCACATCTTAGCTATCATCGGTCAAGTGCGCATCCGCACATATCATGTCCACATATCCACATCGCTCGCAACACCGATATATACACACACCAGCAGACAGATGGCACACCCACAGACACATCGACATCGATTGCACAGCATGGCATTACCCTGTCTGTCTGGCTGGCGGGCGGGCTGGCTGGCTGCAGTTCGAATCGCGATTGCCAATGTCTGTCAGTCTATGTGCCTTTGTGTGCACACGAGCGAGGTTTTGATTCGGTGTGATTTGCGCCCGCAACACACAGGGCAGACAGACTGCTGCACGATTGTACAGTATTCATGTGTGCGCGAGACTGGAGCCAGGCAGAGGGAGGGATGGCTACAGGGGAGCAGTTGTGATCTAAGACCTGGATTCAACCAGCCAGTCAACCATTCGTCAATGGTCAATGACCCTGCGATGTCCATCCAGCCGTCATGCCTCGTCCACCGCACCCCACCGCACCACCCCACCACCCCTCCCTATCTATCTTATCTGCCTAACATAGGGCACCCCTCTTGTCTTCCCCCCAAAGTACGCCGAGAAAGGCGATGTGACAAACGACAGCACAGCCGAGCATATGATCAGAACAGTGTACCCCAGCAGCGACGCCACAGCCGAATCCACCATCTTCTCCCCCTCAGATCCGCCGGCATAGCACTTGGCCTCGCTCAGATCCTCCATGAAATGGCTGGCCCCCGCAGCAACGGTGATGGAGAGAGACATGAACTTGAACGATCCCGTCAGCACGTTGATGGAGGTCTTGATGATGTTGGCGTCCTTGTAGCGTAAGAAGAACAGGATGTCCACCATGTCGCCGAGCGAGCCGATGCCACAGGTGATGACTGTCCAAAGGACGAGGCTCTCCACGAGGCGGTCCTGCTGACAAACATCTGTCTTGCACTCGCCGTGGATGTCGGCCCAGTCGAGGCACCACTGGTCATCTCCGCAGCCCGCGTCGTGCCGGCAGTTGAGCCCTATTGCAGGGTCAATGTCGCACGTGTAGTCGGGAAGAGGGCAGCACGCCGGACCGCACTTTGTCTCAACGTCAATGCTGAAGGGAAGACAGAAACGAAGACAACAAAGGCACTGGACAACAAAGGGCTTCTTCTCTCTTGTCTGCGTGCCTGCATATGTCGAGTGTCTTCCTGACGCACGGCATGTTCTTGCTCTTGGTCAACTCGCCCTCGAAGTTCTCGTTCATCTCCTGCTTGACACTCACGAGGAAAAGGATGGCCTGCACCAGGGCAGCCAGCCCAGTGGCCAGTGCAGCCCCTGTGAGGGACGCTTGGATGAGGAAACGCGGACTAAAGCCCATTTTGTCGGGAGAAGACTGGGGGGTGGGGGCAGCCGTTGTCTGACGTTGGAGTCTCAAACAAAGGAGACGGAGCGTCTGACGGCTTTCGTTTCTGGCAGCAATATTGTACCCACCGATTCCAAACAAGGGAGTGCGGTGGTCACGCGTACTGTACGTCGTGTGTACAGCGCTGTCCCTCTTCTTCCTCGCAGGACGACAAGTAAGCTCCTCGAGCATCATTGAAGCCATTCGGTCTGCGCTGGGCTCTCTAAGGCCCCTTAAGAGACGCCCTCACCACTGCCGTGCGCGGCACCTGCAGTGCGCGAATTCTTGCACTTTCAGGAATTCGCTGCCGTCGACGCTGCCGTGTGTACAGTCTTGGTGTTCATTGAAGAAAGGGGAAGCTTCAAGAGTTCTGCAGCAGTCATCACAACGACTTAAGTCCCAATGGCATCTGGAACGAAGGCTGTGAGAACACGGTGAAACAAATGTGTGATTTCCTGCAGAGAAGTGGGCCTCAACGCCATCATCATCGGTGACGTTGCCTGACCAGCCACTAAGGCGCCGAGGCCGTCGACGAGTTGGCGCATGGGGTGCACGGACGCTGCGTGTGTCTCTCTTTGTTTCTGCTGGTCTTCTATCGACAGAGACGCCATGAGGACAGCTGCGCAGAGATTAGTCGCAAGAAGGACGCCCACGCTGCCCTTGGATGCCTGCTCGAGACACTGTGTATGTTCTTCTTCGGGCCGTACGCTTTTGCACACACCTATATGACGGACGCACACATGTATGGCCATGTGTGTGCATGGGAGGCCCCCTGTTGCAACTTGCCCTGTTGTGTGCGTCAACACAAGAGATTCAACAACAGTGCCGACAAGGTAGGTATGCACACACATACCAGATTGACCGACACGTGCTTCCGTTTAGTGATCAGCGTATCTGACACGTGCTTCCACAGGGGCGTGTCCAGAACGAGGAGCTGACTTCATCCCGTATGGACTTCGTAGTGACGCTCCAGGTGAGTAGATGGCCGTCCTCAAGCCATCCCCATTCGCCCAACCGCAAATGTCTCTATCTGTCTTCCTACATGGCGACCTCCGTGCAGCCCAAGGCTTTCGCGGCCGTCTCCCTGCCTGACATTTGTGGAGCAAATTGGCATGAGAGGAGGCGGTGTTCGGTATGTCGTGTTCCAGAGCAACAGTGCCACATACGTTGCGGATGGCTGTCCCTTTTCCCCCTCTTTGCAGCCCGACGTTGTTGACCGGACGAACGAGGGAGAACTGTCGGCTCACTGAGTCAGCTCATCGCGCCATAGCGGGGACGCACCCGCTGATTGTTCCTGCTGGCAGAAGAGGCAACGCCCTGTTTTGCCTGCCGGGCAACCCTCCCGTGCCAAACGTGAACGATTCGCCCTTAAACAGCCAGCCCTTCCGGGAACAAGGATGTGCGTTCATCGTCCACTGCGTCGACAAGGCACCTCTGGCCTACAAGGAGATGCTGCTCAAAGATGTCAGCTGCACTCACGAATGAACACATGTCCTTATGTGTCCTTATGTGTCGAATGTGTCTTATTATACTCTAGGCACTTTCCAAGCGCATGCCACGCTGCAGTTAATCCGAATTCGGTCAACCCCGCATACTCCAACGTGAGTACTGACATTCATCGCATGAACAAACCTATTGCTTGATGAATGTCAGGATGGTTGTGGATGCAGGCGTTGTTTGCATTTTATATCGGTAGCGTCTCTTCCATTCGAAAGTGCCGCCAACACGCCGCCACGCTGATAAACGTGTGGATAGCACACGTGTGCAAGTGAGAACAGGCTCGAGTCTCGAGAACATGGCTTTGCAAATGCATCAGTTTCGTGTCTGTCGAACACGTCTCTCTGCCGTGTCTTGATGGGCTGGTCTTGTGTGATGGCGATTACATGCATGCATGTGAATAAGAGGACAAATGAAAGTGCCGGCATCAATTACAGAAGTGCCCTGAGACGGAGATGAGACGGCAAAACCCCCAGCCCCCGGAGCCATCACATGCATGCGTGGGCCCCCATCTCAGTGGCCAAGACAGTCTCACAGTTGCCGACTCACTGCGAGGCGTTCGCGAAGCAGTCGCGAAGTGATAACACTTACAGCACCAGTTTCGTCGTTAGCTGGTGCCAGCCATGGCGGGTACGCCTCCGCCGTTAGTTGCCAACCCGTTTTGCAATTGCCCACCGCCGCCGGGCGGACTGGGCGGGCTCCCCGGCAACGTGCGGGTACCGAATATCGGCGATTCGCCTTTCGATTCGCCGCCCAAGAAGCCGTCACCGGAGGGGAAGAGGGAGGGAGAGGGAGACGGCAAGGCCCTGCGGCTCGTCATCGATTCTGTCGACAAGTTGCCACTTCCATATGATGCGACGCTGCTCAAGGAGGTCAGCTGCACTTACGAATGGACAATTGTTGTGTACACGGATATCGTATTTGCCCATGTGTGTGCCTTTCTTTGCAGTTTCCGTGTGTTCTGTTGGAGAATGTCGGGGGCAACGGCTGTTTTGCAGGCGCAACTCTGCAGTCGGTTCTGCGCGTGCCTCCTCTGGCCAAATACATACTCAAACGTGAACATTGGCACAATACATCATCATCTATGCAGAAATCCAGACATCCCTGCTGTGTTGGTCCCTCTCTTACCCTCCCGTACCCTCCCGTGTGTGTCTTCAGAGGCAGAATATCTAGTCACCTACAAGGCCGAGCTCATCAAGCGGTACGAAGACCACTACCGCACGCTCACGCGTACGCATCCACAAGGACAATTGAGGCGTGGATGGATGCATGGATGGATTTTTGTTTGTTTGTTTGTTTGTGTCTTGGTCTTTGCCTCTCCACTTAATCAATCCACAGGCCGCCTAGAGAGTGCGTCGCAAAGGCCGGCCGGAACGCTGGTTCGCGAGCCGCACAGAGACCCCAAGACGTCCCTTCTCTTGGAGACCCTGCTGCTCCTATCGTATGAAATATCTATTTGATTACCTCTACATGCATTCGCCCTTCTCTTGCCTTGTTTGGTCAGGCACATGTATCTGCCCACACCACGGGAGCTGGAGCTGGCCGATAAGAAGGGCAAGGGGCAGAGGGGGCAGAAGGCCAAGAAAGGGCGCAAGAAGGAGGAAGGTGCTGTGGTGTCGCTGAGGGCGGAGAGTATGTACACTACGATGGTTCGCTCTTCGAATGACTTCGGTGAGCCACCAGAGACACACACAGCACGTAGCTCATGTCGACATACAAAACCCGTGCGTGCACTTTTGTCGTCTATGTATGTGCGAGACGTGTGCAGTTGTTGGCCGCCAGGAAGACGCCACAGAGGCCCGGGAGTTCCTCCTCGAGGGCCTGCACTCAGAACTGGTCGCGGGTACGTGTACGCACCCGTGTGTGCAAGCTGCATCTGTGTCTATGCCTGTGTCCGTGTGCGTCTTTGTGTGTACATTGCAGCGACTGAGCTGGCCAGGACAAGGAATACCGACGCGCCGCGCGACATGACCCTCGACCAGGCCAGTAGAGACGCCAACACGGGGACGGCCGTCTCGGATATCTTCAGAGGTATGCCGCATACAGACACACACACAGGGGGAGAGGGAGAGATACACACGTTGAAACGACTGCCAGGTGTCCTCAAGTCCACCGTCACGTGTGGGGACTGCGGCACGAAGTCCGACAGAGACAGGGAAGTGACCTGGTCGCTGAATGTGCCGATGCTGGTAAGGACGCTTAGTGCCCGCAGCCAAAATGTGCCTAAGAATTGTGTGCACATGGCTGTCCCTGTGTTCTTTTCATGTATAAATGTAGGACTGCGTAGTCGACCTGACGGATGGGGGCAACGGCGGGAGGGCGAGCATCGACGGGCTGGCCTGCGTGCAGTCGTTCTTTGCCCCCGAGGAGATGAAGGGCGACAACCAGTACGTGTGTATTGCTAGACAGACACGCACCTGTATCTGTGTGTCGTATGTGTACATACAGGTACTTCTGCGCCTGTTGTGGCAAGAAGTGCAACGCGACCGTCCAAATCTCTATGCCCACCGTGCCGCCCGATGTGAGCGTCAACTTCGAACGCTTCGCGGGGCTCAGCAAGGTACACACAGGCTCACACATACGCACCTTTCTCATTTGCGTCGGTGCGTGTCTGTCTGTCTGTCTGTGTGTGTCCAGAATCAGACACACGTACAGCTTCCTGAGGAGTTGGACTTCAGCCCGTTTGCCGATCAGCAGGAGGGCGCACCACCGATGGAGAAGCACAAACTCATGTGTACGTGTGCACTGAAATTGACAGTGAACATGTGCCGAATGTGCCTGTGTCTTGTCCTGACTGCAGCTGTAGTTGAGCATGAGGGCAGGACGAGGCATGGGGGCCACTATCGTACGTATAAATGCAAAACCCTCCCCAATGGCCAATGTAAGCAATCCATCCATCCGACCAGGCATCTGGACAGATGGATGATCTGCCTGTGGATCCTCTCTCTTGAATGATGCAGCCAAATGGTTCGTCTACGACGACCAGGTGGGCTACATCAGGGAAGTGTCCCTCGAATTCGTCCTTGGCCGCCAGGTGAGCAGCCTAGTGGCCGTCCTCATGAAGCCAGCCAGCCATCCACCCATCCACCCATTCATGCGTGTCTCTGTCTATTGTCGATCCGTCATATGCAGGCGTATATGGCCGAGTACGTGCAGCCCAATGCCCTCGCCGCCGTCTCCCCGCCCGACCTCGCCGACGCCCCCCCTCCCCCCATCAACGACCCACCCGCCATCGTGGTGAATGACGAGGATGCTCCCCCTGCCGCGCCCGCCGCCCCTGCCAACCCGCCCATCGTCAAGGCGGATGACAACAAGAAGGCGGGCGGCAAGAAGCGCAAGGGTCGATGTGAGGACAAGGACGAGAAGGGCAAGGAGAAGGAGGACACGGCGCCCAAGAAAGGCAAATGGGAGGGACGGCTGCGGGCTGGGAACGAGCTGCTGGTCAAGGAGGAGAAGGTGGAGACACAGGAGAGGGCAGAGAAGGAGAAGGCGGGCGGCAAGAAGCGCAGATCGCCCCGCCTTCTTGCTGAGCCAGACCTCGCCAAGGTCAAGAAAGAGATCAGCAAGAACAAGCCCGCCAAGCAGGGCGGCGACAAGGGCAAGAGCAAAGGCAAGGGCGGCAAGCCGGCGCCCAAGCCCAAGGCCATGCTGCAGGGCAAGAAGCCGCTCCCTACCGGACCCACACAGGCCGGCGATCACGCTGCCGCCATTCCCCAGCCACCCGCCGAGAAGGCCAAGCCCAAAAGCAAGAAGAAGCCCCGCAAGGCCGCCAAGCCGCAACCGCCCGCCCAGAAGGCCGCCGACCGCAAGAAGGCCGCGGGGCCCACGGGAGGGCGCAAGGGAGGCAAGGAGGCCAAGGAGGCGAAGGGGAAAAAGGCCAAGAAAGCCATCGTCAAGGACAAGGCCGCCTGACAGAGGAATCGCAGCAGCAAGGCCAAAGTCACCAAGGCCACCAAGCCGCCCAAGCCAGAGGCGCAGCAGCCACCCCCACCCCTCCAGCAGCAGCAGCAGTATCAGCCGCAGCAGCCACAGAACGTCAGGAAGCGCAAGGCCGGGCAGCAGCAGCATGCGGCCGACGACCGAGGCGGCAAAGCAGCGCGGGAGGGCGTGATGACGAGGGCGATGCGGCAGGCCCTCGAACTCGACAAGCAGTGAGGGGAAAGAGAAGGGGGGAGGGAGTGTGGTGTGTGGCGAGATGGGTGGCACGTTCATCGAGTTCATGGATGGTGATGAGATAGCGGTGATGTGATGCACATGGCCGAAAGCCCCAACAACACCCCCAGCAACCCCCCAAACCCCCCTGGCCCTGTGGCGCCTTCTCTTGCGCCCTCGGCCAAACCCATCGATGCGGCAGGGACGCACGGCCCGGCGGCTGCGACGGCATCGAATGGTTCATCGTGTGGAGGAAAGGGTCAAGACGGCGGGCGGGAGATGCCCAGGACGGTGCGCCTGCACCTACTGTCGGTGAAGTAGTCGGTGGGCGCATGCATGCGTCAATTGTGATAAGGGCAGGGCAGGGAGGAGGGGAGAGGGAGAGACCCTCTGTGTGTGCATGGCTTCATCTCTTCCAAAAATACATACTCACTGACTGACTGACGTGCTATTGTAGTGTTGCATTCAGTGTGTTGATTGACTTGCATACTCACGTGTCTCCCTCCTTGTGTGCGGATGTGTGTGTGGTGCGTCAGTTGGGAGTCAGTGTTGTCTCTGTCTCGATGAATGGTGGGTCGTCATGCGAAGTTTTTCTTTTGGTTGTGTGTGTGGTTGGTTCAAGTTCGTCTCTACACCACCCACCTCCCACCACAGTCAGGCCATTACTGCCTTTTCCTTCTTTGTCCATGACCACGCCCCTCGCGTGTTGAAGCGAGGAGCGGTGATGTGACGCTGGCGCTGGGAGGTGGGGGTACACACAAAAAACGAATGATAGGAATGGACGTGCGAGGGATGGACGTACGAGACGCGATAGATAAGAGACACATAAAGATACAGTATGTACAATGGATACACTGGATGGCATGCTTCCACCCAATCATCGTCCATCCATCCATCTATCCATCCAGTGGCACTTACAGATGTAGGTCTGTCTCATTTCTTGCCCCCTTGGCAGCCTGCACTGCATCGATCCTCCTCTGAAACTCGGCATCCTGTTTCTCCAGCCTGCTCTCGAAATCTGCCACCAGTTTGGCCTGCCACGCCTGCAGGGAAGCCTCCACGCTCTCAGATGCACTCAGGCCGCTCTCCTGCAGCCACACACAGACGGGCGGCCACATGCACAAGGCAGAGACACCACCTGACTGCATCCACGAGTGTCTGCTCACTCTCTTGTCAACTGCTGGTGCCGGCACGTCTGTCGGGAAGTCCTCCACATTGGGAACCTGCGTCTCGGCCGCTGGTCGTTTGGACAGAGTGAAGACGGGAGGCCATACAGTACAGAGAGAGGGCCACGCAATCAGACGGAGCGAGCCATTTCATTGATTGCTTCTCCTCAAACGCCACCACAGACGGCATTGCGGGCATAAGGCTCCTCGCAGGCACCACACGCACCTCCTCCCTTGTCACATACACATACTGATACAGCTTGAAGTGCCGGAAGAAAGTGTCCAGCACGTAGTTGGTGACGTCCTTGACGTCCTGGGTCGAGGAGACACCCACAGACCAGGCGGTCCTGACTGCCTGCCAAAAGAGATGCGCCATCAACGAGCAGAGGGCCGACTGTTTGCGGTCGCTGAAGCCGCTCTCCAGACAGAAAAGATAGTTGTTGAGGTGAAAGTCGGACAGAATCTCCTTGCGAAAGGATTGCTCCGCCTCGATGTCGAAGACCCGGTCCAGCACATGCCTTGCATAGTCTCGTGTGCCCTTGCCTGCCATGGTGGCCATGATAGACACTCACTTTCTGCGTTGTTCTTCGTGCTGTGGTATGACAGCGAAAGAAGATGATAGAGACGTGACAGAAGATGATAGAGACGCGACACACACAGGGAGACTTACTTTCTTGTTGCGTGCTTTGCCAGGGCATTACATGCAAACACAGCAGCTTCGGCAGCTGCAGGCGCGTCAACACACACACGCATCTATGTATGCATCACTCCTTTCGATGTATGTCTTGCTTGATCTCGAACACGTCCCTCTGCGACTCTATCTGCGGCAGCCTCTGCATCACACCCCCCCGCCACACCCTCCCCTCAGCCCTCGACCTCATCTCCTCGTCCATCATCTCCAGGCCCATCGCATCAAACAGAAATGATATCTCCTCACACACCTCCCCATAAGCAACCGCCTCGCTCGACGAACCAAAGTGCCCGCCCTGCCCCTCCTCCCGCACACGGATGAGCAGCCGGCTGCTGCCGCCACTCATGAGCGAGTCGTCGATGGACACGTCACTCGTGTCGACCTCGGGCGTCGGCTGCCGGTCTGCAGATCGGCGGTCGTGCTTCTTGGCTAGTGACGGTGGCGGGGTGGAGTCAGAGATGGGGAGGCTGTCGATGGCTTCTCCTGCTGTGCGTGGTATTTCTGATAAGGCCTTGGGCTCCCCGACATGTTCTTCGACTTCCCTCGGCCACCGCCGCGTCCCCATTACTCGAGACGTCTTGCTCTCTTGGGGTGCGGGCGTCGACGCATCGTCAGTGGGGGAGCGATCGGCTTCTCTGCTGGGTGCAGGGGCTGGAGCCGTCCGGGTCTCGGCCACGTGAAGGGGGGCTCGTGCTGGTGTGTCGATGGGTGTGTCGTCATCGGGACCTTCGGGCGACTGCTGCCTCCTTCTCTTGGCCTCTCTGTCCTTGCTTGGCTGCTCCTGTGGTGGCGAGAGGGACACCAGGGGGCTCGAAAGGATGCGGAGGCGGGCGGCGTACTTGACGGCCTGCCAATACGGCACCCTGCACAGCAAACACAACACGCACATACCAATGAATGAACCAGTCAGCCCTGTGTGTATCGTGTCTTCATTTGTTTCTCTCTACCTGGTATCGTCGACTGAGGTCGTGATGAGCATACTGGGATACTGCTGCTGCTGCTGCTGCTGGCGTCTTGCCGAGGCACTGTCCGTCTTGACAGCGCCTTGTCTGTCGATCAGCCTGGCCGCGCCCCTCTTGCCGCCACCAGTGGCAGCGGCAGTGCTAGTGCCGGTGAGAGGGAGGTTGTCGTAGGGGCTGTATGAGAGGATGGCCTGGAAGGCTCCCGGATCGACGGTGGGGTTGCCCCACTCGTCGTACTCGGGCACCGTCAGAGGCAAAGACGGGTCGAGCATCGCCGTCAAAGGGTCCACAAACGGCACGTCCAGGATGCAACACCTGCGTCACACGTGACACCCAGCAATCATCGTGTGTCTTCTCATTGTCTGCGTCTTTCTCTCACTTGAAGAGCTCTGGGTGGTAGTTGACGATCCAGCCCACCGGCAGGCCGCCTGCCGAGCTGCCCTTGACGGCAAGGAGGGACCGCTTCGTCCAGCCCATGCCTATGAGGTAGTGGGCACAGCTGACGAGGTCGTGGAAGGTGTTGGCCTTGACCAGCCCCTTGCCCATGGCGTGCCACTCGCCGCCCTGGATGAAGCCCATGAACCTGTCTGGATCGTCGCTCGGCGCCTTGCCGCCCTCCCCACCGCCGCGCACATGCGCGAATGCAATCATCTGAATGAATGCGGAGAGGCAGGGAGATGCCGCCCGCGATTGATGCGCTTTGTTCCGCTCACCCATCCTCTTTTGAGCAGACAGATGTGTTCGATCTTGAAGTCCGGGTGGAGAATGGCCCCGTATGCGCCGTATATGTACATCAGACAGGGCTGCGCCTCGTGCCGCGGCAGGTCCTTCTTCCTGCCACACATGACACACACACACACACACACACGTGTCAAACACACATGGCTTCAGCTAGCCTTAGTTGGCCCTACACGGTCACCTGACGACGGTCATCGGCACGGCGACTTGTGCGTCGTGGCTGGCTACATAGTGCACCTCAGACACGTACCTGCACCAAGTGTGCATGAGAAGGTAAAGAGTGCAAGTCGCTCGGTGCTGCACGTATCTATCTCCTTACTGCTTGACATCGAATTCCTTCTTGTCGAATCCCTTGGTGCGTCTCCAGTGGGTCGTCCCCTTGGACAAATCGATGTCACACACAATTCCAGGCTCTGACATGCACGTGTGCCCATGGCATGCCACACAGACAGCGAAGGATGGATGGATGCCTGCATGCATTGATTGGATCCGTCTGATGTCGGTTGCCTACCCAGGGGCGATCGAAGGGTGAATCGGATGACGGGTGCGTCAAAAGCCGCATTCACGCCGGGCTCCACGACGCCCACACCACCCTCCAGAGGCAGCCACGCGAAGTACCTGACACACACACACGTAGACAGATAGAGACGTCATCAATTCTGCCACACGCTCCTCCCTCCCTCCCACCTCCTTTCATCCTTCTGCCGCCTCCTCCTGATGACTTTGGTGGGGTCGTTGGGGTCGGGGAAGTACTCGAACTCCCCCTGGTCGTCGGACATGTCATACGCCTCCTTGGGCCGGTCGTCGTCGTCATAGCCCAGGTACTCGTCGTCATCGTTGAAGTCCACCACACACACGGCGGGGTGCGACGGCTCCCGCCAGCCGTAGAGCACCAGCGCCCTGTGGTTCATGTCAATGTCCTGGATCTTCATGTGGTGCTGCGTGGGGTCGAAGAAGAGCTCGTAGTCGCTGACGGGCGGGGGCTCCCACTGGCCTGAGGAGCCTTTGTGCGGGCGGCGGAAGAACTTCTGTGTGGGGATGCGGGTGACCTCGAAGTCGGGCCGGCGGTCGTTGGCCACGATGTAGAAGTATCCAGACCTGCGGGCATGTGTGAGAGCAGTCGATGCGTGTGTGTGTGTATGTGTGTGTGTGTGTGGCGGTTGTACCTGTGTTCTGCGTAGTATTCGACTCCCTCCATGGGTGGCCGCAGCAACCGGGGCACATCCTCAGAGAACCATGCCCTGAAACACACACACACACACAGACAGACAGACAGACACACCATTTGGCATATGCGCAAACAGAGGCTGGCTGGAATCGGTGTGTACCTGACGACATAGACGGCTGAGGTCGTCTTGGTGTTTGAGGTGAGGAAGATGTACTCGCTGTCACGCGTCTTGAACAGATCCACATACGCCGCCGAATTCCGCTGCACGTTCACGCAGAAGATTGGTGTCGTCTGTGTCTGCCCCGTCTCTCTGCGCACCTACCTACCTCTTCCAGCAGCAGCTCCTGGTCCTCAATCCCCCTTTCGGTCATCTTAGCGCGATAGATGCGCGCCGTCCTGCCGGTGCCCTCCTCCTCGATCGGCATAGTGTAGTAGAACGTCTGCGGCAGCGGGATGCCCCCCATCAGCTGCTCACTCGCCTGCCACTTGGCCTTCAGCGCCCTCTTGACCATCGTGTCGGGGTCTCTCACGACGTTGCCCTTTTCGTCGCGGTAGACGAGCTCGTGCGGCTTGTCCTCGGTGACGTGCCGCCTGTGTCTGTCGATCTGGAGGGCTATGGGGTCGCTGGCCCACTCGATGTTGCGGGCGTTGGGGAGGGTGAAGGGCAGGTGGTACCCGTTGTGCAGGTTCTTGAAGCGCAGCTCGTAGGACTCATCGCCTGCACACAGACAAGCACACGGACAATAGGTAGGAGAGGGCAAATGGGGGCTGCTCGACAGGCCGACAGGCCGACAGGCCGACAGGCCGACAGGCTGACCGGTGAAGTCGACGATGAATGCGAGCACCGCCTGGCTGGCGTCGAGTTTGCAGACGGACGCCTCTGCGTATCCCGCCTCTGAGTGGTGTTTGGCGAGCTGCTCCAGGTTGAGCAGCACCTCCTCCCTCCCTATCGACGCGGCCTCCTCCATGTCATGCAGCTGGAACAACGGATCAGGCACTGACACACACACACACACACAGACAGAGAGAGAGAGAGAGAGCCATATCACGGGGTGAGCATGCAATGCATCCCGCCTCACTCACCTCGTCTCTGGTGTCTGTACTCGACAGGCACGAGCCTTCTGCAGTAGACGGGATACCCCTCCACAAACCGCTGATAGTACATGTAGTCGTTGACGATCTCCGGCAGGATGAGCGACTCCTCCTGCACCAGGCTGGCGCTCTCGTCATAGAGAGCATCCTGGAAGTCGCGGTGCTCCTCCATGTAGGCGGTGAAGAGCTTCTTCTCGTCCTGGATGAACTGGTGCAGCGGCTCAGCATCCCTGTCGATGAATGCCGAGTGCCACTCGTCGGCTCTTCGGGGCGTGGTGCAGGGGAAGGAGGGCGCTGGGAGGGGCTGGGGAGGGCGGACTGCAGTGGTGATGAGTTGCCGGTGCAAACGAGCCAGCCGCCGCGCTACAGCCGACATGATCTTCACTCATTCAGCAAAGATCCATGCTGCGGTGTGACTGGACAGGCAGTGTGTGTTGTTGCACGGCTGCACAAGTGCTACGGCTGCTTCTTGCCTCTCGACGTCTGCGAGCTTAGCCTCTGGCGAGCTTGAAAAAAGAGGTCAGCTGATCTGGGCCCGTTTGGCGCTGCCATGTGCTTAGTACCACGCCCTTCATCGTCCGCTATGGAGCCGTCACCTGCATCTTCCTCCCGACCGACCTCATCCCATCTATCCCGCAGATTTCTCGCTTGCCTCTGCCTGTGCAGTGCTGTCAGCTCATTGGCAAGCACCACAGACGCTCCATGGGCAAGATCAAGGGGATCAGAGGCAGCTTTCAGGTCGCTGGGCGGCTCTTCATTGCGCGAGTCAATGAGAAGGCGGCGAGGGAGGACACAGATGGGAGCGAGGAGGACGCCTGTGATGATGCCCAGCACAACGCCACAGGTGCGCAATCATCGAGAGATCAGCAACACGACTCTTCTGGATGTGTTGTGTTCAGGTGCCTTACAAACCGCCTGGATCTGACTTTTATACGTGGGTGGATCTCAACACGCGGCTGCTGCGCGACCGGGTAATCTTTGTCGGAAGATTCCTAGACGAGGAGGCCGCGAATCAGGTGGGTGTCTGTGTGCGTGGAAATGAGAGGGATAACTGCAGTGCGTCAAGCAATTGATGCGTTGCGTATGTGTGCAGATCATCGCCACATTGCTTTACCTGAGGTCTGAGGACTCCACGCGGCCAATCAGTCTCTACATGAACGTGCCGGTGAGGGAGGGAGGGAGGGAGGGAGGGAGCACTTCTTAGCCAGCCAACGCTCATGCGACTCTCCTGACGTGCAATCACTATGTTTGTGTGCGCTTGTTTTGTGTATGGTGTCTGTCTATCAGGGCGCACTGATGAAGCCGTCATTGGCCATTTACGACGCCATGATAGGCGTCGAGTGCCCCATCAGCACACTCAACCTTGGTAGGACAGAGAGAGAGAGAGATCACACGCATACACAAGCTCGTCTGAGAACCCTGCCTGTCGGATTCTCCCTCTGTGCCAGGTCTGGCCACCGGGATGGGTGCCTTCCTCTGCGCCGCGGGGACACCGGTAGATACGCATGCAACCAAATCAAGCCTCCGATGCGCACTTATCCGAGCGACTTGTTGCTGTGTGTGTGTGTGTGGGTGTTTGTGTGCAGGGCCAGCGATTCTGTCTGCCCAACGCGCGTTTCTTGATGCAGAAGACGGGCATGGAGGAGGGCATGCGGGGGCAGGCCACCGACCTCGCCATCGACGTGGCCGAAAACTATAAGGATAACGAACGGGTAAACGACACACAGACACAGACAGGGAGGGCGGAGAAAGGGAGGAGCAATGTCCCAGTGCAATATGTGGATGGATGGATGTGTAGATGCTGGCCAAGCTGGCACAGCACACCGGACAGTCGCTGACCAAGATCAAGAAGGACTTCGAGGTCACACACAGGAGATGGCCTTCATGTGATTGAGAGACCGTGACGATTGTGGGTATGGGTGTGTGTGTTGCAGCGTGACTTTTACCTGACGGCAAACGAGGCCAAACTCTACGGCGTCGTCGACAAGGTCACACCACCCACACACAGAGAGAGCGCCAGCGTGTGTATGGGATTGTTGCTATGTGTGTGTGTATTGTCAGGTCTTGCTGCCCAAGTACAGCCGCAGCGATCCTGCGTAAGTGCCAAACGCACATATGCAGCATCCTGTCTTCTCACATCCTGCCCTGCCGTGTGTGTTGGTTTCATCCGCTCAGCATGCGGGCGGAGTTCGGCCGGTTTGAGGGCGAGCCCCAGCGGTACCAGGACTATCGCGAGAGCAGTGGGTGGGGCGGGGCGCCGTCGTATACTAAGGGGTGATGTGACGGATGGTGCTGGGAACGATGTGAGACGATGTGTGTGGGTCGGTGTCTGCTAACGAAGTGTGTGACCTGGCATTTGTACTCTATGGACCGGTTTCTTTCTTTGCAACATGCACAGACCACATTGATCAATCAATAAACGAGTCACGTCACTCACTCACTCAAAGGATCGATCATCAACCAAATCCATCCATCCATCAGGCAACAGCCAACCCCACACACCATCCATCCATCCATCCATTAAAACACGAACCACTCATCCTTCCCTCCCTCACTCCCTCACAGCTTCCCCTAGGCCATCTACCTATCTCTGAGTCTCAGAGTCAGCACCCCGGATGCTGCCGCATCCCATAAGGCCCACTGGCTGGCGAGTAATGCCCTCGGCCCCTGCCGCCCCGGCCCATCGGCGACCCCGCACCACGGCCATGCCCGTGGGGACCCATCGGCAGCCCAGGGCCGTTCTGCGGATGAACCGCACCCCTCATCAGAACGTGCGGGTTGGGCGACAGAGTGATGTGGCCGCCCCGCCCCCTCTGCTGCTGCTGCTGCTGCTGGTGGTGGTGCTGCTGCATGGCCATCTGCCTCTGCGTGTGAGGGTTTGGCTTCAGTACGATGCCGCTCGTCCGTCGCTGAGGGGTGGTGGGTGCGTGTGGGGGAGGGGGGTGCGGGGGAGGCACCGACGGCACTTTGAAGGGGTTGGCGTGCGGCGACTGGGGCGGCGCCGGCTCCAGAGGACCGTCAGGCAGCCTCTCCGTCTTGACCATGGGCAACGGCATCACATTCGCCGACCTGGGCGAGCCTTGCCCGCCGGCCACAGGAGTGCTGCCCTTCGGCGATGCACCCTGCTTCTCCTTCTCCTCCTTCATCTTGTTGTCCTTGGCCTCATCACCCTTCTTGTCACCCTTTTCGCCAACGCCATCGCCATCAGTGCGGCGCCTCTTGGCATCGTTGTTCTGGTCTTTGTTGTCGGCCGGCTCCTTCTTGTCCTTGTCTGGTGGTGTGCCTGGGGGTGTGATAGGCTCGACGTCCCTCTGCGGGCGGCGAGAGGGGATGGGGAGGGGATTGGGATTGGCGCGGGAGGAGCTGCCGGGAGACCCACCATCGGATGACAAGAGCCGCTGGTAGATCTCCTTGTGCGTCGGGGACACATCCATCTGAACCAACCAACGAAGGACAAGAAACATACAGGACGATAGATGCGGACATGAGTGCGTGTCCCTGTGTCTGGCCCCCCCCCCCCCCCAAT